TACCACATGACCGCAAACATAATCCCCGTATTGAGCGCAAACGCTGGAATACTCAAACAGATAATCGGCTTCCTCCCGATCCGGTCCGCCAGCAGACCATACGGAATCGCCAGAAACGCACTGAGAACTCCGTCAAAGAACTCCATGTACCCCTTCACGGCCGCCAGCTCCGTCTGCACCTCTTTGATCTTACACATCGACTCAGGGACCTGCCCGTCGGCCGCGATCTGACGCGGGTCATACTCGGCGTAGTACTGCCGGCAGGCAATGGACTCGTAGATGCGAGTCATGGGCCCATTGGCCATCACGATGCCGACCTCGAATGCGAGGATCATGGCAAAGAGGGTAACCATAAAGCGGAAGCGGATTTTCTCAATTGCTTTGGTTCCCTTGCGATCGTCGACGTCATCGTCTTCGTCCTCATTGTCGTTGTAGACATGCTTAACTTCCGCTTCGTCGTCCTGGTCCCCTGTATGATGTTTGGAGGTGCTGCTTTCCGGGGAAGAATCGAGAAACGGGGCATCCTCTCGGTCGAGAGGATCATGGGCGTCGGCAGCCATGGCCGGGGCGGATCATTGCCTGTACTCCGTCGTAGCAATTGGTGATGTGCTCCGCTACTGTAGTCCGTAGCTGTACTTGAGCGCCGTGTATAGAGTGCAATTACGTAGATGATGACTAGGTCGACATCATTTCTGGTCGAATCGGATATGTTGCAGCCTACAAGTCTGATGATTGACAGGGTCACAGGGGAGTGGAAGCGGGGGCAGAAGCCGGAGGGATCTGGAAGCTGGAAGACCGGAAATGGAAATCAGAAATTGAAATAGGATAAGGAGTACGGAGTACCAAGCAAGCCACAGGCCATCATGACAAGAGCTCCACTGTAAGTCTAGATACATAGTCCAGTGGCCAAGTGGCTAATAATGCACCTGTAATCAATAGGAGACTGGAAGCCCCTTTTGACGCGATGTTTGAGCTGGACAAGCGAAGTGGATGACGAAGCCCCAGGGAATCAAGACCATCTCCTATTTCTGACCTAAGGTACAGTCCGACTCAACCCCGATCACCCGGCTTTCCAGCTGCAATTGAGGCCCAATGGCAAAATGGTATTCTCCTCTCCAGCTTTGTTTCCCTATGTTGTCCTAGTCGAAGACCGCACCTTTTTGACGATCTACAATTTGGATGATTCTAATTTGAACTCAGCACAACCACTAGCCAATCAGATACTGTGGTTTGCGCACACGACTGGATTCAGGGGTCATTTTAGTGCCCGACAATAGTGGGCCTCAGGCATAAATAGGCACCAATGGGATGCGCTGGAGGACCATCTATAAAACTGATCCTGGATATTCGATGAAAGGGGACAGGAGATATCTCTCTGCTGGGGATAGCAGTGATGGCCTATGGTTGAACGGACAGGAACTTTTAAGATACTTCGTATATATGTCCAATACTACTTTCTATACTCTACTGTACTGTGTAAAACAAATGTTAAATGGGTATCCTGTTCCAGTCGTGGTACCTGCCCACAACTCCATTGCACAGCCCAGCTATTTTTGGCTACTATCAGGCTGCAGCGTCAACTCCCAGAAACCCCGCCTCTTCATATAGACTTCCCCGTGCTTGTACAATCGCCGATAGCTCCAGGAGGAACTCATACAAGATAACAGTATTAGTCAGGATGTGTCCCAGTGTTGCTGACTCGGATGGATTGTCCAAGGTCGCGTCATCTGAGCGGTCTGTATGGACGCCGGCTGGTTCGATGACGTCTCCAGCATCGTCTGCCTCGCTCCGGGGCCGCTGTGGCTGTGACCTCACCTGGAAAGGCTCGGCCAATCGCTTGCGCAGCTCGTCTGCAGCAGATTGCCGGGTCATGGACGATTCCCGGGTGGCGGCAGATAGTACAGAGGGATCCCGCGCTGGTGATCTAGCCGCAGCGCGCCGTGGTGTGGATGCAACGCTCTGCACGTCCAAGGGTCGGGCTGCTCTTCCGCGGGGAGATCCAAAGTCAGACCCAACTTGCCCCATTCGTGCAATTGGTCTCTCGGAAGAACCACCTGTGGGAGGTACAGAGGCTTGTCGGGACCGGCTAGGGGATTGTCTCGGATCGTTTTCTTGGTGGAGGATGTCGCGCCGAGCTGCAACCAGTATGTCAAAGTCTGATATGTCCCTGCACCATCCCTGTATCTGTTGCACGAGTCCGTGTAGGACACAGGTGAGCATGGGCACGTCAGCGCTGGACCAACTGGGTTCGTGATAGGCTAGCTGGATCTGTTTCAATACTTCGAGGGTCGAATCGCTCTCGGTTGTAGGTGCGGCGCTGTAATCATATTTCGTCGGGTCGACAAGAAGCCACCCATCAAGAGATACAAGATGCGAGGAAGCGATGCTCTTCAAGACTTCCGTCAACGCCAGGTTCACTATCACACTATTGGTGAAAAACGTGCCTAGCAGGTTCAACAGTTCTCGCACGATGGGATCATCTCTTCGCAGTTGTAATGGTCCATCCTCCTCAAGATCATATTCCGCCGGTAACATACTGAGACGCGCCTCCAATATCCAGGACGCGTCCTTTAGATAATTCTCAAAAGAATCATTCAGCGTGGGGTCGTGGACAATCGATGTGGCCAAGCCCAGGAGCTGTGCGAGCTCGGCATTCAGTGCACCAACGGTTCGCTGCTTGGCAGGTTGACTTGAATCCGTCCGGACCAAGGATCGGGCGAAAGAGTGATGTCGTTGTAAGACAACCGTCAGCAAACGTAGCGTAGCCAACACTGTTTGACGATTGGTGGACTGGAGTCCAAGAAGTGCAAGGTCTCTGAGGTTGAAGAGAGATGGAGACGGCCGAGCCGCTCCCTCCGAGAAGGCAGCCAGGACGTCCAGAGACTTTCGTCGGCTGGACGACATGTCCCCTTTTGACGTAGGCTGTGAGTCGGACGGCGACGCAAGCAAAAAATGTAGAATACGGTGAACCAGGTCATGTTGTTCGATTGACTCAAGGATACGGTATAGATAGGTGAGCACCGCAGCAGTAGAGCCACCTTCCACGTCGGATGATTCCAGTAGCGATGGGTACCTAACATAGTCAGAAAACACCAGGAAGATCAGTTAGAAATGTTGCAAAAGGGGGAACCAACAGAAGTTGCTCTAGAAACAAGACCTGGAAATGGTCCAAGAGAGTACCATTCACTTCCGCAGATTTACAATGGTCGATCGTGTCCTGCCAGAACAACAGATACGACATAAACGAATCCATGGTCGCATCGAGCCGGGGCGGAAGGGCGCTTTCATGTCTTGCATGGTCTGACAACGCGACGATATGTGGAAGGTTTTCTTCTTCGGTCGTACCAAAGGACAGGCTAGGATATCTGTTAGTCTGGTCCCGGTCTCAGTCGAGCCATATGATTGCCTACTAACCTGCCCAGCTGACTGTACAGCGCGCCTAAACCCGTAGCCATAAGAGTTGCAAGATCACTTTCGATCAACCATCTCTCCAGAATCTTGGACCTGGACGCTGTCTCAATCAGATACAGTAGGCCCGTCCGAGCGAAATCGCCCGCCCTGCCCGCATGATGCACGTACTGCACCAGCAGATAAAATAAAGGAAAGTCGTTCGTCCTTGTCGCGCCAGCAAATTCCGTCCCCGTATTGGATTGCCTCTCCTTATCCTGGTCGTCAGACCTTGGAGCAAACCAAGCTGGTAATATGCTAGGCTGTAAACGAATGTTATTGGCGACACCAAACAAGAGTTCCACCAGTCTGCCTTCGACATCCTCGTCATGCTTCTCTGCACGTCTGACCAAATCCACCAAAGCCCGCGCAAATAGCCGGTTGTCAACAACGCCATCCACCTCCGAATCTATCAGGGTGTTGAAGAAGATAGCCGCGGCCCGGAGCGTGCCAACCTGGCCACCATCGTAGGACGACAAGGCGACTTTCGTGATGGTCACGAAGATCTGGGAGGATGCAGCATATGCTAGGCATGGGTGAGGTGCGGGACCTCGCGATTCGTCGCTCAGGATGGAGTTCAGCCGCTCAATGTAGATGCGCGCTTGAGTTCCAGCTGATAGGTTTCCGGACGGGGTGGTGGTGGAACGCCATATTTGCTGTCGAAGGTAGCGAGAGGGTTAGCCTTCTCGCTTTTTAAAGCTGCTGAAACAATACAAGACCTACTTGCAGAGTATTGCACGTCTGCTTGAAAGCTGTTAATCTCTCAGTGGGCGACGTAGCACGAAAGCTCTTGGTTGACAGCGAACGGGAGCCACCAATGAGACGAGACCACTATTATTGGTTAGTCGCGACAGAGATCTGGCGAGATGTCAAGGGACGGAGAGTCAGGAGACGGAACATACAAAGTCCATCGTTCTGTGACAGCTGCATATTACTTCTGATATCCTTCGTCGACCACAATCGCCTGTCAAGCGAGGACTGAGGATGGAGGAGCAGTGGGCTTGAGACAACAGTAGTGCCTAAAGGGGAATAGCGCAGTCACGTCCTAGGGGATAGATCATGCATGTCGACCCACGAGTCCTTTTCAGGTATAGAGCCATGTACTCCAAGTCTCCAACTACGCGCAATCGAGACGCACCATTCGGACAAGGCTTTGACAACGAGGGTCTGCATTTCTGACCCAATAATCATACTCTTGATGTGGCTCATGAACTATTGATCATCCATCCTGACAGTCGTCAAGAATCATGCTGCATCCTCGCAAGCCAATGAGGTACAACAGTAAGAGTGGGCACTGCCCAACGATAATAGAAAGAAATTGAGATGACAAATGAACTCAGATCCAGGAACCAACGGCAATGAACCAGAGCTAAAAGTACTTATTCACATCAACAGAAATAGATGCAAGCCCGACCATGCGTACCAGCATAACGCCAAATGAGTATACGCCCGCTCTCCATTCCCGTCTAAGATATCACCCATCAAGTCGTTCATGAAGAAAAAAATGAGGAGAAAATTGAAAGAAGGTCATGTCTCAGATTTAAAGACAAGCCTTAGTCACTATCTTCCTTGGGCCGCCGCCCGCCTCGCTTTCGTTTTGGTTGCTCGTTCTGGTCGCTGCCATCGTCATCATGCTTCCTTCCACCGGTAGGTTGGTCGGGAACCTTGGCGATTATGTCGGCCAGGAAATCCAGAACTTCATCCTTGACGACCGCTTGTTTCAGATGCGACGCGGTCACGCGTTTCGAGTTGCGATCTCTAGCTTCTTTGGCTGCCTTGGTGACCAGAGAAATCATGAAGAGTTCCAAGGCTTTCGCTATGACACGGTAGAAGTCAGTACAAGTTCAAGAGGCCCGGGGACGAACTGAAGCGGGATACACGTACAGACAGCAATGGGAGTTACTTGTGCCACCTTTCCGACATCCTCGTCTGCTTGCATGATACGCTTGATACGCGCGACGGGAAACTTTGTCTTCACCTCAATGGTGGCCACCTGGTTAGGTTGCGGCGGAGGGAGCTGCTGCGGCTCTTCCGAGAGCATTGGCTGCGCGTATGCGACCTCTGGCATGGGCGCGACCTCGGTTGCGCGTGCCAGACGGGAGGATCGACGAGCCATGTCCGGTGAAAGAGGAGAGTTTGGGTCTATGAATGGTGGTATGTACTGCTGAGGGACCCGACCAAGCGGGGCCGGTGGTTGCTGATATTGCGGGGTAAAGAAAGGTGAGGAGTCGTAGGAAGCGCGGTGTGCCAGAGGACTCGCGAGAGGATAGATGGGAGAGTTAACGGCGGGAGGAATAGAGGGCTGGAAGGTGGAAAGATCGGGTGAACGGGGTCTGTAGGTGCTGTCCTGATCTGTCATTGCTAGGATGACGCTTTAGCAATGGCTATTTCCCTTTGTGTATGTGGACACTGCCGTAGTTGAGTTTGGGGCGTATAGTTGCAGTATGGGGTAGTACCTTGTTTTCCGGGGACCGTCTTAAGTTGACTTCACGTATATGTATGAGGACATATAACGGGACTCGAGGAGATACATCACAAAAAGGACGTCAAGCAATTGCAAAGTGAATATCACCGCGTCCCTTGCAAGACCTCAATGCCTTGGGATGGATGTGACAAGATCACAGTCGCGACGGCACCCAGATAGTAAGGATGGATAATAAATAATAATAAATGTTTATATCGCGCGCCACGGATGGCCCGAGCTTCTTCAGTAGCAAGTACCGACAGATAGAGGGAAAGAGATCTTGGGAGTGCGTGTGCCAAGGGGTGGAAAAGCGCGTGTCGATAACAGGTATCAGAAGAACAGGCCGGGTTTCTTTCTTCCGGGGCAGCAGCTGCCCTTTTTAACCCTGCGCCCGCCTTCCACTGTCGCGCTAAAATTGTGGAATGCCTTAGGTTTTTTTATCTCTTTTTTGTGATTTGTGCATCCATTGTGATCCTATTCCCTTACCGTCATCGACAGCCTTAATCAACCCGTAGCCCACTACCAAGGCTTCTCGAACATTTCTTTCTGCATCAACCCTCCCCCTGATCTTCATGCATTACTTTGTTGTTTTGTCCTGATTTCATTTCTGGTGACTGACTGCTTTATGGTCTATTTTCCTGTTCAATCTGATTGCCCTCGATTACTTGAACAAGCCTCTCATCGCCACTTCGCCCATAAAGGCGTCTCGGACGGACAGCGCGTTGATTGGGCCTTCTATGCTGGGCTTGGTTTCAGCCCGTGATTCTGTCCTTCGAGTCACTGTCGATGATGCAACTACTGATCCAACAACAGCCTTAGAGGAGGATTCCATGGTTTATCCTTTCTTTGATGTTTTTCCTGCTCCTCCATGTCCCAATGTAGTCGCATGTGCATGTTTTTATAACAACAATTTCTTTTTTAATTTTGCTAACAACATGTACCACGACTGCCGATGATGATAAAAGAGCTCCCAAGACGCAGGAAAGGCGAGTTCCAGCGAGCAGAAACCAAGTGGTATCGCCGCTGATCTTGCCCGAACGTGCCTCCGTGTCGATGAAGGTGAAAATTACTTGATCTAATCTGATGGCGCGTCGTTGGTGCTGTTGCTCTGGTAGCCTGGCGGGCAAACAGCCTTACCCAACGATGTTTCTACCTTCTGTAGTCTTTTTGAGTCAGTGTGATATTGAAGCCAGCTAGACGACAGGGCCAGCGCAGTAGTAGCGTGCAACCAGTTGATATGCATAGTTCATGTTATTGTTCAATATTGAAATGTTGTTATGATCTCTATCACTATTCCGTAAAGCGGATGCAGATAATGGGTGGAAAGTCAAAGTGGGACATAAAAATTAAGTGGGATGCGGGAGAAAAAATGCTAAATAATACAAAGCTGACCGGACTTTTGTTTCTCCATACCAACCACCTCAAGTTCACCTCCAACCAAATTTGGTCAACAGATAGACTGCTCTACAAGGCAACGCTCTATATTGGCTCCCGGAGCCGTTGAGATGGATACTACCTCATCTTGATGGTGGACCCTGGCGTGATCTTTGATATTGCCATTTTGGCCTCTGTTTGCCGGTCGTAAGCCCAGGTGCTGCGCGATTCTTCACGTTCATTACTATCATTGACTGGCTTTGAACACTCTCAATGGCTGTGGCGGACCAGCCTGCGGGCTTGATGGACATCGCAAGGTGAGTGCATGCTGGGGTAATCGAGGTCTATAGGTTATGTTCGTGATCTAATGTGCCGGTTTCGTCCCATCAGCTCCCTCACTCAGGATGAAATTCCATTCAAGCTGAGATGCGCTATCTGCAACAAACTTGCCGTTAATGCGTTCCGCTTGCCCTGCTGCGATCAGGCCATATGTGAAAACTGTACGCACCTGCTAGTCCCGAACGACCTTAGCCGTTACATCTATTGACCGTCCGACTGTAGGCCAGATATCGCTTCCCGAAACGTGCCCCGTGTGCGCACATACTCCCATCTCCTCCGACTTATGCAAGCCAAACAAAGCTCTACGAACGACCCTCAAAGCCTTTCTTCGCACGGAAGAAAAGAAACGCGAAAAGGAGCGACAATCCGCTACGCCTGCGATCTCGAACGGAGTGACGCCTGCAGATGTGACCCCGGCTCAGTCAGAGACACCAGCCGTGTCCGAAGCCCCCGCAAGCAACACGGTGGCGGAGATACCGGAGGACAAACTCCACAGCAGTGATGTCGCAGGGAACGGGTCATCTACTGTTGTGACCGGTGCAGAGCCGTCGGACACTGTTGCTGAGAACGTGACAGATATGAACCAAGCAGCAGTACCCATGCCTTCTATTGAAGTACGTTGCTGGTGGTTACTTCCATATATTTGGCGATGGCTAATTCGTTGAAACAGAACGAGCAAGCAGAAAATGGCCCGGCCGAGGCAGGTCAGGCATATGAGGCTACAGAGGAAAACAGACCTGCCGAAGGAGATGCGACGGAAGAGCCGCAGCTCCCCCAGCCCGCGGATGAAGGGATGCCTCAGGCACAAGGCCCGACACCGATGTTCCCCAATGCCATGGGATTCAACATGGGACCCGGCGCCTTTCCAAATATGGCTTGGAACAACGCCAGCGGCGATTTCAATCCAATGGCCCAGTTCATGGCGAACGGCATGTTCAACTTCCCCAACCCAATGGGTAGGTTCCTCTTCATCTGTCTCTTGAAAACATTCAGACGCTGACATGATAACTCCAGCAATGTCTGGTATGGGAATGGACCCAATGGCCGCGAATCAGGGTATGCTTGGAGGCTACGGGATGAACATGAATGGCATGAACAGTGGCATGAATATGGGAATGAATTTCGACGCTAGTCAAGGGATGTATGGGGGATGGGACGGCTCTCAAAACAATATGTGGAATGGAGGCCAAGATAAATTCAATCCAAATGCTTTCGCAAATGGTATGGGCCCGCAGTATGGGGGTCCTTCTGGATTTGGCGGATATAATATGTCTCAACCCAACGGAGTTCATGCTCAAATGCAGCAACAACAGTTCCCTAGCCAAGATTTTCAGAACGGGTACTATGGCCCCGGTTATGGCAGAGGCAATTTCCGAGGCCGCGGCCGTGGGTTTGTTCCTGGCGGCCGTGGTCGTGGCGGCTTTGCTGGGCATATGCATCCTAACTACCCCAATAATGCTAACTACGCAGCGTCCCTACCCCCTAATTCTTCTGACTTTGATCAAGACACGACAGGCCAGTCGCAGGAAGTTGGCCCCGCTGGAATATCGCAGGACGATTCTAGCGCTACGGAAAGACGCGCCGACGACACACAGGTTGCATCCGGCGATGGACAAATTAAGCCTGGCCAGGAGCCGTCGAACGAGGCAGCTTCTTCTCAGGAAGCTTCTGGGGATACTGCAGCAGAGGCAGAGGCTATATCTGCAGACAGACCCGCTGCCGATGGAAGTACTGGGGAAGAGGAAACCCAATTGCGAGGGATCCCTACCATCGACAGTCTTGATCAGTCCAACCATTATCAAATGATGCCCAATGCTTCGATGGGCATGCCTGGCCACATGGGAATGGGATATGGACGAGGCTATATGCGCGGACAATTTTCAGGAGGCCGCGGGGGTGGGTTTGGGGGTGCTCATTTTATGGGCGGGCCAAACATGCAGCAGGAACCGCGGGGTCAGGGAGTCGAAGGAGCCCCTGCCGCTCCCAGAGCAATGCGTGAGGGTCTCCCTAACACCAGTGTTCTAAGACAACGGAACTATTTTGCTCAGGGACGACCTTCAGGTGCGTCACTAAGAAGCGAACAGAGGTAAGTCGTACCGTCGTACAGCGGCTCGTCAATCTGCATTGTAACCTGACATATTGATGTAGTGCAACCCCAACAACGCCCCACGAAGATGCACGGACGCGGACCAGGTCGAAATCGAGATCAAGATCAAGATCAAGAGCCAGGTCTCCCTCTAGACCGAAGAGTCGATCCCGATCTCCCGGTCCGTCCGATGTGGATGGCCGCCGCTCCGTCCGTCAGCGCTCACCAACGGTGGATAAGGACGCCGACGATCGCGGACGTAGGCGTGATGCGCCCAGAAGACCCCGTCGAGAAGACAAATACGACGAGCCCTCTGAGGCCGAGGTTGACCGCCGCTCTCGTTCTCCGTCTATTGATTCGAAACGATTGTCTCACCGACGGGACAAGGAACGGGAGGGCAGAAATGCACGTCGGTCCCATCGATCCCATCGCCGTAGTCGCAGCCGAAGCCGGAGCCGCAGCCGCAACGGAGATTCGCATGACGTCGATCGTCTTTCGCGGATTCTAGAGGAGCCTGCCTCCCGCTCGGAGAGCAGAGCGTCTGTCTCGCGAAAGGACCGCTCCAGTCGCCGCGAAGAAGAACGTGATCGAGACAGGGACCGAGACAGAGACAGAGACGCCAGACGGCGAGATCGTGACCGTGATCGTGATAGAGATCATGATCGCGATCGTGACAGAGAAAGAGAAAGAGAGCGTAACCGCGACCGAGACCGCGACCGGGATCGCGATCGATACCGTGAACGCGAAAAAGACCGCGATCGCCACCGGGACCGAGACCGCGAGCGGGACAGGGATCGGAAACGCTCTCGGCGCGACCGAACTCAGTCCCCTGCTGATAGTGACTATTCCTCTCGCCACCATTCCCGACGTATTAAGCGAGACCGCGAGGACGGCAGCGACAGAGACAAAGACAGCTCCAGAGATAAAGCACCGCCCAAGACCTCCGAGCCCGAGAAGGACCCACATACGCTGGAGCGTGAGGCTCGTAATCGCGAACGAATGCTCAAGGAGCAGCAGCGGCGGGAAGCAATGAACGCAGAGAGTAAATCCAGTCGCAGGCGCGACAACCGGCAAGAGCGTATCCTGGCCGGAGGCCGACGGCTCAGCTACAAATATGAAGACGAGGAGCCAGATTCGGCACGTGCTGCGCGTGTGGAACGAGAGCGAGAGGCTAGTCGATGGGCGTGATCCCAGGACACTCGATGTCTCGTTCTCGCTACTTACTAGGTAGAGATCTATGAAGCGCTTACGGCGTTTCATATTCTACTCGCATCGCGCAGTACCCACCCAATCTACATGTACATATACGTTGAATAGTACTAAATGGACGCTCCATCAGACGCTGACAGTGATTCTAAGATGACACAGCAGTAACCCAAATTAGGAGTAATATCCTTAGCCCTTATGATGGGTGCACAGTTGTTAAATAAGATAGTGGCAGTCAATGAATTGCTAAGCGAGTTCATCGCTCACCACTCAACACTCAACCTTGCTAACCTTCATATTTGGATCTGCTTCTTTCATCTCCTGGAGAAGCTATAGAATACGGCTCGTCTGCTCCTTCATCAGCGTTCTCAAGTTATTCGTCTTCGTACGTAACTCTTTCAGAGATGATATCTCCTTCTCCACCTCGCGAATCGGCTCTCACAAGCTTTTGCTGAGAGTTACCAAAAGCTGTTGAAAAAGAAGTCGGAGCATTAGCAAGAACTGTCTTGGAGAGTTTTGCCTCTCCCTACTCATCCCGCATCCTGCGAAGCTTGTTTCTGCGCCTCCCAGACACCCCTGAAGTCTCAGAAGACTCGGGGGACGAAGACTCGGAAGGCTCACTTGCAGTAGCATCTTCACCAGACTGAGCTTCTTCGTAGTGTGGGTGCGCCTGGCACTGATATCGTCAAGGCGTTACGACTTAGCTTGACTATCATATGGCCATACAACCTCGGTGACAACTCCGAATGGCTCTTTTAGATCCAGTGGTTCGAAACAAAAGGAGAGTAAACTCGATATGAAGTGGTATTGACATTGCAACATGCTATAAGCCCGCGAGAATATAAGACACCGACTATGGTTATGAACAAACGAAGAGGACGGATTCTTTTAGGTTGCGAAACGTCCCCGACACACACAAGTTAGAATACACTACATGGCAGAGGCTATCACGGAAATGAAATTGGCTAGCCCAGCTTGGCCTTGAGAGATTCGATCTCCGCAGTCAGGTTCTGCATCTGCTTCGCCTGCGATGCAATAATCTTGGTTTGCTCCGCGAGCAGGTCCTTGATGGCTGAGACCTCGCGCTGGACGGCGTCGGCGGCAACAGTAGCACCGGTCTGAAGAGTCGAGCCTGCAGATGGAGGGGGCGTTGTGGTGGTAGGAGTGGACACGGTAGGGGTGCTTCGTTCGGCGACGACGGGAGAGGCCTGTTTTGATTAGTGTTTGGCCGCGGAAGATTTGGAGGAAAGAAGCTTACCGGAGCAGGACTAGCCTGCGACTTCGCCTCTTCCTTCTGTTGCCATGGGCTGGTCTTAATCGAGGGCGACGCGTTATCTGCGGAACGAGCAGTCCGCTCAGTTGGCTTGGAGATTTCCTCAAAGCTGGAATCATCATCCACTGGCTCGGCATCATCTTCCTGGTCGGCAAACTTGTTCACCATGGCGGCCATTGAAGCACCTTGCTCCTTCATGGACACCTCCGGCTTGATGACGGGTGTGGGTGTCGAGACAGGTTCAGTGGCCTTCTTTGCAGCGACAGGTTCGGCGGGCTTTGGTTCAGGTTCAGCCTTGGGTTCAGGCGCACTCGTAGTAGGGGTAGGCTGCTCTTGTACACCTGTGACTTCCTTCAGACCCCCGCCTTCGTAAAGGCTGGCCATGGAAATCTTGGGCGGGATGGCTTCCTTTCCAGCGAACCATTCCGACGGGCCCATAGCGGGCTTCAAACCTATAGTAGGGGGGTAGATATCATCTTGAAAGTTTTCTGACCGGCGAGGGACGATGAAGGAGACTGGTTCGATGTAGCTGTCGTTGACAGTCTTGAAGGCGCGGGTGATCTCGTTCTCGTGGGGGTTCACACCTCGCTTGGGCATGAAAGCAATACCACGCTGGGGGTCGGCGGACTTGTATTCGGCAAGGAACTCGAACTTGTCATTTTCCAATTCGAAGTAGCGGATGTTGCCGTCGCTAGTAGTGATCAGTACAGACCCAGACCATCGCAGCTGAACATCGTGAAGAAATCACAACTCACCCTCTACCAGCCAGGTACAGACATTGAGTGCCATCGTCCCAGAATGGCATGCACACACCAGAGATCGAGTCAAGAGTCTTGAAGCCGTTGATGGGTTCGCGAGGGGCACGAATATCCCAAAGCGCCAGCTGGCGATCGCTCATCTTGGAGAAACCGGTAGTCGCAATGCGATCGCGCTCGCCCAGCCATACAACTCGACTGTTCTTTGCACCCGAGTGTCCCTGGGTTTCGTGAGCGGGTCGCTCCTGACGAACATCCCAGATCCGCAGCTTCTTGTCTCGCGAGGTGGTGACCAGCAGGGAACCATTAGCGCTCCAAGCTTGAGACTGGACAATATCTCCCAAGTTCAACGTCAATTTGGAGGCTCCGGCTTCGATATCCCAAATCTTAACAGTGAAGTCGCCAGAGGCAGTCGCGAGGATGTTTTCTGCGGCGGGGTTGAAGAGCACGTGCCCAATCTTCCTGCGACAAAAATTAGGACCGACCAGAGACAAGAACGCCAGGGGACCGCGGAGACCAACTTTGGGTGACCACTCAGCTTTCCAACGGGCGCAATGTCTTGTACTTCGTCAGGTTCGACGTCCGGCCGGAGGGTGAAGCCTTCGGGAACTCGCCAAAGCAAGACCTAGAATAAAGCCAATATGAGTAGTGCCCTGAAAGCATAGAACTATGATCAACTCACCTTGCCGTCGTCGGAACCAGAGGCAATCAAGTCATCGTTGAAGGGATTCCTAAGATATGTTGGTTCTCCTGGCGAAATTAACAGTAGGCGACAGATGCTCACCAGTCGGTGTCCAGAACGACTGCAGTATGACCCCTGAACAAAGGTATTCTCTCGGGTAGCTTGCCTCGCTCTTCAAGAGGAATGACAGCAAAAGCACCACCACCACCGGCTTCCCAATTCACGGAGAGGTACCGAGGGTTGACCTAGCTCGGGGGTTAGACTGTCTTCAGGGGGGCTAATCGGGATGCCGGCGGAGGCGGACCTTGACAAGGTTGGTATCCCAAGCATTTTTCGAGATGCGAAGGTTATCATAGCATTGATCCTGCGCATTAATGAGTCGTTGTCAGAACGTGTGATTAATCAGGAGTTTCTGTGCGTAAATACCTTTCTCGTCGGTCGTCCGAAGACGTGTCCTGATACCTGTCAGATTGCGGGCAGCCTGAGGGAAAGGGATCGGTCAAGCTCACGGTATTTGGATGAACGAACAAAGCGACCAGACATGGCACCGGCTTATAGGAGAACAATAAAAGAAAGAAAATATAACGCAATCAAAGGCGCAAGATGCAGTTGACGGAGAAAAAGGGAGGCCGTGTATGTAACTGTATCACTGGGGGTGATGGGGAAAGCTGTCGGTCTGCGCACAAGAGTCCAGCCGCCGTTAGTTAGTCCAGACAAGGGGAGAGAAGTGGGTGCCCGCTGCGCAGTGGGGAGGAGGGAAGAAAAGGAGCACCAACGAAGTATTGCCGTAAACTCGTAAAAGATTTGTACCCGTAGAGACTATTGCAAGGAAGACACCGGTCAAAGTACGAAGTAAATGGACAAGTCAAAGGCTCTTTTACAACGATTCGCATTCTCTATTATCGTGAAGGATGCCGAATGAAAGAACAAGAGGGCCTGATGGGCCTTGTCCCAATATGGACTAGTGCAACCCCACTGGAAGAGTGCTGAGTCAGCCGAGTTTGTTTACCGCTTTCCGTCACTCCAGAAACCAAAAACACATTCGATCATCGCAAACTGTTCGGCTCACCTAAACAGAAGACTACTACCTTAGTCCCGAGTCGCAGTCCATTTATCTTCCTCCCTTCGCTGCTCCACCTCCTAACATGCCGCAGAGCCAGTTGATACACTGTTGAGTCTTTGTCTTCTCTGCAGCTCTGAGACACACTCCTTTCTTCTACACACTCTCCATCCGGATGTCATAGACCGGCCATTCCAACAGTCTACGGTGAAAATTCCATAAATTGACCATCATGGAGAACGAGCATATGGTAAGTTCGGCCAATGCAGTCGATTGTATCAAAAGTCTTATATCTTTTGACCAGCAGGCGCAACTAAAACCGACAAGTAAATCGCGCATCCCCATGGCCGGCATGACATCGGGGATGACCAATTCTCGCTCTGGTCTGCCCCAACCTGGCACAATTGCGAGTAAAGCGTCGAGTCTATCGCGTATGTGAACCACAATAGCATCTGAGAGAGCGACTTCACATTCTTACGGTAACAGACACCACCCGCGCTAGAAGCGCTACACAGGCCCCCGAGCCCAGCCGATCTGGAACAGGAAGCCTTCCTCCGTCACGTCCAGGCACGAGTATGGGACGAGTTCATACGAGAACTAATTCCTATGCATCATCAACTCTGACCCGGTCGGCCTCGACTGCTTCACGGACTACCAGAACGAATTTCTCCTCCACCGTTGGACCCGGATCACGACCTCCTTCGCATGCACCACGACCGCACACATCGCTTGCTGGTCCCCGAAAGCCGAACGGTCACTCCATCACTCGGCCCGCAACGTCCTTGGATACCCATGAAGAAGAGGATTTCGCTGCAAGCATTTTGGGAAAGAGAAAGGGTAGGCGGCAGTCCCTATTTTCCCTATTTGATATTTATTCCCAGCCTGCACCTATTACGCCGCATAGTAAAGACAGGACGATGTCGTGCGATTGGTCCGACTCGCAACAGAAGCTTCTTGGTATTCAAGAGGCCCCTTTGCGAATTGACCAACTCGAGTCATCTCCATGTCCTACTTTGGATCAGTCGGCCAAGGACCCCGTCTCCCATGACATGCTGGACCTAAAATCCCTGCACCCCGCGCAGGACGGACCCATTAAACCCACTCCCTCAAAGATTCCCGTATCTTCCCCCGTGAGACAGACGTTAGAGAAGCCTGCATCTCCCCCCAAACATCGCCCCAGGAAAAAGAAAGCACCTATCATACCATTTCTGCACAGAGATTCTTCGATCAAGACGTTTAACTATTCTACAGGCGCCGAGTGGGATCAGGCTACGCGCGAAAAGACCATGGAGGAGTTTTTCAATGCCTTCGTCTCACGAGTCAGCCAGGCCGGACAAGAGAGTTTCGGTCTGAAAGAGACCGTTGAATTGTACAAAAGCAGAGGTGAGTGCGGATACCCATTCGAGCTGCAGGTGTGCTGACAGTTGTTACAGTGAGCGAGTTGGAGGCGACCCGAAAGGAACTGACCGACACAAACCTCTCATTACGGGTGGAACTCGAGACCACGAAGGGACGACTAGATGCCGCCGAGGGAGCCCTGAAGGACGCTAGAAGGGACCATGAGATTGCCATGGACGATGTAGAACGCCAGCAACGCGCCGAAATCGAGACTGTCAGACAAGAGAGCAGGCAACAGCTGCAGGCACTAGACAACCAGCACCAAGACGAACTCCGCGAACTGAGGCGCCAATTCGAGCAGCAAATAAACGACGAAAAAGCTGTTCGACTCCAAGAGATCAACCAAATCACCTCGCAGACTGCGATCGACTCGCAACGTTCCCTCCTTGAGCTAGAACGAAAGGACAGGGAAATTGCCAAGCTCCAGCAAGCTTTACAGGGCGTTCGAGAAGACCTGGAGCGTGAGCGGAAAGCAAATCACGATTTGCGGCAGAACCTAGACACAGCAAGCTGCAACAGCGTTACACTCGAGTCCTCGGTCCGCGCATTGAAGGCAAGAATAGAATTCCTGGAATCTGGACGGGAAGAGCAGTCTCAGGCCTTTGAGCGTCTCAACCAGCAAATGAATGATGCCCTGGCTGAAACTGAGGCGACAAAGGAGAAGCTGAGGAAGGAGGAAACTTTGAGAAGGAAGCTGCACAATCAGGTGCAGGAGCTCAAAGGCAACATTCGGGTGTTTTGCCGAGTGCGCCCGTCTCTAGAGTCGGAAGTTGCGGAAACCGCTCAAATCGAGTATCCGGACCAGTCAGAAGAGTGCAAAGAGATTTGTCTTCTGGGCCCAGAGGAGAGAAGCGCTCTCGGCACCGTCACCCGAAAGAACAACAATTTCTCCTTTGATCGTGTCTTCGGGCCCTCGACTCAGAATGCTGAAGTGTTCGAGGAAATCAGCCAACTCGTACAGAGTGCCCTCGATGGGTACAATGTCTGCATCTTCTGCTATGGTCAGACGGGCAGTGGTAAGACATATACCATGTCTTCCCTTGATGGCATGATCCCCAGGGCAGTACATCAGATCTACCAGACCGCTCAGAGCCTGGAAGAAAAGGGCTGGAGGTACACCATGGAAGGCAACTTCGTGGAGGTGTACAATGAAAATTTGAACGACCTTCTGGGCAAGGCGGAAGAGCTGGACAAGAAGAAGCACGAGATCCGCCACGATATGCAGAGATGTAAGACGATGATCACCGACATCACCACTGTTCGGCTGGAGTCGCCCGAGATGGTAGAATCTATCTTGAAACGAGCTGCCGCCAATCGGTCCGTGGCGGCCACCAAGGCCAACGAAAGATCTTCTCGGTCACACTCGGTCTTCATTCTCAAACTCCTTGGTGAAAACCGCATTACCGGCGAACGAAGCGAGGGAACCCTGAACTTAGTGGATCTGGCCGGTAGCGAACGGCTCAGTCACAGCCAGGCAACCGGGGAGAGACTGAAGGAGACACAGAACATCAATCGCAGTCTGAGCTGCCTCGGAGATGTCATTGCAGCTCTCGGACAAGGAAAGGAAGGTGGCCACATTCCCTACCGCAACAGCAAGGTTTGTTTATTTTGCCTCCTGTCAATGTTCAACTTACTGACTCCATTTCATAGCTCACTTACTTGCTTCAATTTTCACTGGGTGGAAACTCCAAGACTCTCATGTTTGTGATGTGCAGCCCATTGCAGGCTCACCTCGCAGAGACGTTGACTAGTCTCAAATTCGCTACGAAGGTGCACAACACGCATATTGGCACGGCAAAACGACAGACTCGTGTTCGTGATATTTAATGATGCCTTTTTTGATTTTGCTTTACGTTCAGGCAGCCTTTATGAGCCAGGCAGGCCTTTGATCAGCCGGTGTTTGGAGTTGCTTTGCCATGAGCTGTTTGAAGATACTACCATTCTGTGACGCTTTCCGTTGTGGCTTTGGTGCTGGATTTGATGTACATAGTGAAGAATCTATTGGATTGATGGACAATAAGCGACGTCGATTTGGTAATATATGTCGAATCATAAGTCATCAAAGTATTTGCTTCCCAGCTTTTCTAGCTGCTGTGACTTGTTTTTGATGGTTGTCTCATTGAGAACCCCTTCATCACTCACAAAGGCGTCCACCAACGTCAACGGAACCCATTCGAAATAGATATTCTTGACTTGGACAGTGGCCGAATTGTTCGTTTCTATCTTGGAACTGGGCAAGCTATCTTCAAGCACCTGTGTGCCTTCGACCCTCTCATTGCGCCACGCACTAAATACCTCTTCGGGGTCGTTATCCTCAACCTTATCTTCCAGGATCCCGTCCTCCCCAACCACCTTTTCCAGCTGACTGAGAACAAGGACCTTCGCGCTTGGTGCAACATGCTTCGCGCTGAGCATGAGAGGCAATGACCCGGTTTTGTTGCTTACGCCTTTCGACGAACAAATGCGGTCAGCACCGAGGAGGACGATGTCGATGTTCTGAGCGGCTAGCGCAGCTGCAGCATCCGTGTAGATTTTTATATCGAGTTTCTTGTCCGTCGAGCCGAACTGAGACTGGAAGCGGGAGTAGATGGAGGAGGCGAGGGTAGCGCCTTCGAAGAGCGGTCTTGATTCGAGGATCCGCAGTTCGAGCGTGGGGATGTCTAGCGCGGCGAAGGCGTCGAGGATGATATTTCGCGTCGTGGAGCTAGCGGATAGTGTGAGGATGGTGATTCTGTCTCGTTTTGGTTCTGTCGTCAGAAACGTGGTTTGGATGTAGGAGGTGAATGTTTCTTTGACGCGGGTGGTGTTGGCTTTCCGATTTGCGATATACGCGTCGATGGTCGAGAGTATCCGGTCCCGTTTTTGCTCCTGCTCGGTGCCTGTCGACTGGTTCAAGATCTCGTCTAGTTCTACTAGGATTGAGAGGAGCGCGTTGAGCGTCGCGGCGCCCATGCTCTCCCGGCCGTTCTTGACCAGATGCCATGCAGCCATGCGCGCCATCCGCCAAAACCCCTCGTCTATCTCGTGCGTCTGCGCGATGACGTCCCGGAAGATCGCCAGCGCGATACCCGTCAGCTCGTGCGCCCCGCTCTTATGGTCCTGTTGTAACCTTTCTAGTCCCCTCGCTAGGGCTTCCGCCGCGCGCTCATCCATCTCGCACTCGGGGAAGACTCGGCGCAGGGTCTCATGGAGGCGCGGCACGCCGCCAAATGCCTCGTCGTCGACGATGGAGGCCGGATCGTGCCATTCCCAGCTTTCGTGCTCCCAATCGGTGTGGATGGCTGATTCGCCTTGGCCGCCCTGGCTTGCGGGTTTGAGTTTGAAGGCGAAGGGGTGGACGGTCCATTCGCGGTTGAGGGTGGAGTCGCTAAAGGTGAATGGTTTGCCGATGCGCCAGAGGGTTAGGTTTCTCGGGGTGAGCGTCGTCTCTTCGTGGAGCTCGCGCCAGGCGGCTGTGAGGGGGTCTTTGTCGGTTGAGCCGATGTTACCGGAGATGGGGGCGAGGTGGTGGCTGTTAGTCAGTCAATAGGTACATAAAACTAGGAGAAAGGGTAGAGCTTACGGATAGGTCCTTACTTTGTCGCTGCGGCGGAATAGAGCTACTTTGGGCTTGGAGGTGTCGTCATCTGGGAATGTGAAGATGAGTGACGAGACGACATTTCTTTTCTGCTTTTGGTCTGTCATTTTGATGGCGTGCGGGGGTCGTCGAGATCTTCCCCGCAAATCTCGTGGGTGAGCTTGACAGGCAGATTTGTTTACTCGCTGGGATAAAAGTAGAAAGTTTGGAAGAGTGCCAGTACTTTTCTAGAAGCACCATGTGAATGTCACAGGCTGATGTCAAGAGGAGCCTGGGGGTGGAGTAGTTGGCAGCCATTTGCTTGTAGGCGTTTTGTCATGATCACATCACCGTCCACACATGGCCAATTAGCAGCAAACAAGAAAGATGGTTTGATGGATAGCTTATTTACATATATCAAGACTCTCACTAGTTATTCAGTGTGAATTCGTCTATATTTTTAATACTTGAGTTTTCCTGCCCGCGCAACTATAGTGACGTCAGCATACCCCAGTATATATCAAGCTCCCACCCCACTTTGTATAGCATCATTTTCTGAATATCAGCAATTGACTCTTAAAACAAGAACAACCATATGAACCGTCTCTCCCTTATCACTCGCCATCTCTCCCAGATTCCCAAACCCGGATATACTCGCACAACCCACCGAGCCATCTCAACTACAACATCCCGAACCATGCCCCAATACACCGGATCCTGCTATTGCCGCAACATCAAGTACGAAATATCGCTTGACTCCCCAGACGATGCACGAACCTCCCTCTGCCACTGTTCGAACTGTAAAGTCAGTTCACTTTCATTTCCACCTTACAATGCGCAAGCTAAACTGATTGCAACAGAAAGCATTCGGAACAAACTACGGCTTAACCGCCAAGATCCCTAAGGATGCATTTAGACTGACCGCTGGGAAACCCAAGGAGCATGTTGGCGATAACGGGTCCGGGTCGTTACTGCACCGGGAATTTTGCGATAATTGTGGGAGTTTCATTCTTGAATACGGGGTGAGTTGACAGTTTTGAAGCCGGTGGATAAACGCTAAGAAGGATAGGATGCGGTCAAGGACCAGGCGCGGTATATCTGCGTTGGGACTCTAGATGATCCGGAGGCGTTGCCGCCCAAGGGGGAGTTTTTCTGTAGTTCGAGGGCGAGCTGGATGCCTGAGATTCCGAGTAAGTTGTCCTGTTCTTTGCGGTATATGGACAATAGCTGATGGCTATAGATGTGTTTCATAAGCAAAAGATCAAGGAGTAGACCGGATGTATACCATAATGAGCTTTCAGTTGTATTACATCCAATCTGGGTTCTTGTATTATATCAAATCTGCATTGTATGAGTATCAACAAGTTGGCTCAGTCACACTGTGAACAACCAGATCAGGAGCAATCAGCTTCTCCCGAATGGTAACCGCATTCAAATAATCGTTGCTGTCCACTCTCCGAAACGCATCTGCCAATGTCTTCTCAATCCCCGCCAGGACATGCCGCCGCGCGACCCGTTCTCGCGCTACCTGCAGGTCACTCTCAACAAACACCCGGTAGTCGACCAGCGCAGCCACTTCCCGCCATTCCGGCTCGTCGAGCAGCAAATAATTCCCCTCGATGATCACGATCTCCGCGTCATCGGTGATGGCGATGCCATTTTCGACCGGGTCTTTAGCCTCGTGATCAAAAGAGGGTGCGTAGATCGTCTCCGCAGAGGCACAGGGCGTTGAATCAGCCCAATTCCGTAGCCGACGGATGAACTGGACGAAGCGGGCGGCGTCAAAGGTCCAAGGTGCGCCGCGGCGGATATACGCTTCTTCTCGATTGGGTAAACGGTCCAGCGTCGCCCGCGACAGATGGAAACCGTCCATGGAGAGCAGAGTGGTGCGTTTTGGCGACGATGTGTTTAGGAGCCTCGCGACCGCGGCTGCGGTGGTTGTCTTGCCGGATCCCGGGATGCCGGCGATGGCGACTAGGAAGCGCTTCTTGCTGTGAGCATTGGCTTTCTGGCGTATTGTCTCTGCGAGGCGAGTGTATTCGACTTCCATCTATGCCCGGTTAGTTTTCTGCAGAGGTATAGGAAATGGTAGAGCTTACCTTGTATTTGTGGTCGGATCGCGGCGTTACCCTGGTGTGCGTCTGGAGGCTACACAGAATAAATCACAGCATGCTACAACTCACTTGCAGAGTCTGAGAGTGAAGTTTGATATCATTTCCAATGTAGGTACATTTTTGACACCCCGCGTCCGAGCCTGTAGAGCGGAGACGGCTCACAGTGCTCCGACAGCAACATGTAGTGACCTTTCCTCTTCGGTAGTAATCCGAATTGATGCAGATGATGTGAGGCGGACTGCGACAAAGGACTTCTTCATGTAGTTGATGGTCTGAGGGGTGTCGTGGGCCCGTGGCAAATCGTGTCGGGGCATGCTGCTCCGAGGAAGTGGAGATGAGAACGGGCTCGCATATAAACGGAAACTGTCATCTTGCCGATCACCATTTTGCTCAGGAACACCGATTGCGCCCTTCTCTGAAAAGGAATCGTGGATATCTGGAGATAAGTCCAATCGCCGCTGCATGCATGTACCAGGGTCCAGGTGTATTTCCCCGCTTGTGCGGAGGAGATACTCCCTTGCGATAACGTTATCTAAACTGTGGCATTCAAAATGATCGTCGTGGCACGCTACGCATTGCCAGTGACAAAAACGAGAGTAATTCTCTATCTAATCGTCAATGTACTCGTTGGACTGGTTGTATCATCCATTCAGCAGCAACTTTGCTGCTGCAAATGCATTGGTGTTGCTGCTCCTGTTCCTTGTTGCGATACTCGAGACCGGCTCGATTTCTTCATCGTCTTTCGTAACGGTGCCACATAGAAGCATAGAATCTGTTGATCAAGACAGTGCGAGCATCGCGGCTGCTGCCTGTCACAAGCTACTCCCCATGTTCGACAGGCTTTACATGCAGGATTCTCCTCGTCCGTATCATCACGAGATTGCTCAGCTGTAGAGGTTTCTTGTGTAGTAAATGTGCTGCCCTTTCGTTTTTGGGCATGATTCTTGCCATGTCGAAGATCCGAGGACTTAGCCTGGCTATCCTGAGTGCTGGGGCCGTCGATCATCAGTGTCGACCAGAACCATTGTAAGAGGCATTTGCCCATGCTGGACCTTTGTAGACCGTCGTTGTGGTGTGATTCGTATGCTGTAGAGTTTCGGATCACAGAGCTCTCAGGCGTTGTGAAATGGGAATCTGGTCCTGATCCTGGTTCGTGAAAAGGGAATCTGGGCAACAGGATATAACATTTAGTTGAGATCTGGGAAATAGGAGAATGGGGTTCGCGGATTCTCGACTCACCTTTCATATGCATATGTAGTCGCCATGGCGAATGATCAGCGGCGCTCAGATGTTTAGATCGGCTCTTTTTCTAATCAATCCACAGGCAGCAGCTGCAAATGCGCCGAATGTGACAAATGGGCGACGCGAATGTGATCCGTCACGCGAGGGCTCAACCCAAGGCACAAGACCACGACTTGGACGACTTTGAAACTCAGTTCAGATCAAAACACCAGTGTCAAGAACAGGAAGTATCATCTGGGAATGTTTCCAGCCCAAGAGGGCGCGGGGGAAATAAAGCCAAATATAGTGAGTGCCTGCCTAGGTGTCCGTAGACCTCCATACCAACGAGGCTGTACGGACAATTTGGACACCCCACCATGTTCGGAATGCCAACGCACGAACAATAGGAAAGCAACACGAATATTGTATGCATTACTACCCACAGCAATGGTCAGATCGCTTGTGTGTTCTGTCAGGCACCAGTTCTTGCCGCCAACACATCGCACTCAAGGAACGCCGAATGACAGGCGGGTTATACATCCGAATTACGTCAGGCAGAAATCGTCGTTACTCCGTTCCAGGGCGCCAAGATGTAACTTTGACTGACTTTTCGAGGGATTTTATTAGCCTTAGGTGGTCTAGCCTGAAAGGAATGAGCGGAGAAAGACTCCCATCAAGCGGTCATCGATCCATTCTAGACTCTTGGGGCGCGTCGGATAAAGCCCCGGTTGGCCAAGATTGTTCCCCATAACCCGATCCGGATTGTTGTCAATCCTTCCATGGGTGGATGGTGGGGTGTCCGCGTACCTGTGCCCAGCCTGTCAGCCCTCAGTCTCTCCGTGACTCTGGCAGTTATTGTTGTTGTTCTGGGATTACAACTACGCATCACAACTCAGGGTCCAATTCGCTGCATTTTCCCTGTCGGTGTAAGTATGACAAAACGCCCAAAAGCGCCACTCTTCCGTCGATCCGAGCATTTCATGCCTCCAATCGTATGCGCAGCCCCTGACTCGCTGTGATATCCTCACAGCTTACTACCCAATGACCGACATTCCAGGATCGGCCCCGTGCTTTCGACCAGGGGCCAAGCAAACACTGTCTGCGATGGGAACCAGGATCAAGAGGATACTGTCAACAACTTTATGACTACGGAGTACCAGACAATGAATTTTCTCGCGTTGATGCTCAGTTGCTGGTGTCGTGATGTTTACATTGTTCTATAACCCATGGTCGCGACAGAGGCATTTTTGTCGACTGTCTTTTAATGCAGTTCTATTCCTGAATAGAAATGTCAACATGCACATCGCTGTACTGGAAGCAATCGTTAATTCTAAACAATCAACATGGCCCGCCTTATGGATGCGATCAAAAAGGACCACCGAGAGCTCGAAGAATACTACAACATCATCGTGAGCTCCGGAAATACTGATGAGCAAATCCGCTTCCAGAACAAGTTCACCTGGGAACTCGCCCGCCATGCGATAGGCGAAGAGCTGGTCGTCTATCCTGCACTCGAGAAATATCTCCCAAACGGCACTGCAACGGCCGATAAGGACCGTGAAGAACATCAGACTGTACGGGCACAATCTGCTAGTCGATCTTCTATCTTCACCACTGATTCCTGTACAGATTAAAGAAAAGCTTCAAAAGTTCCAGGACATGCACCCCTCCGATGCATCCTTCATGCCGATCCTCAAGTCTATGATGGTAGACCTCGAGAAGCACATCGAGGAAGAGGAAACCATTGACTTTGTCAAGCTGGAGGACGCAATCACCCCCAAGGAGAGTGAGAGCCTGTCCAAGTCGTTTGGCCGAACGAAGATGTTTGTTCCCACCCGGTCGCATCCCAACACCCCGAACAAACCTCCTTTCGAGACGGTGGTCGGGCTGCTGGCTGCACCAATTGACCATCTAGCGGATATGTTCCGTAAATGGCCTGACGATGTGATCAATCCCAATCCATCTTCTGAATAGATAGATAGATAGATAGACAGATAGATTAGAATTAGCATCGCTGCTCGTTATGGAGTCTTTGGCAAGATTTAACCCAAGGAACAACGCAACTCTATTCAAGTCTATACATCACAATCTAGTAAAAATCCAATCTACTCCTCCGGCTGCTCCTGCGATTGATCCTGCTGCGCCTGCTCATCCCTCGCCCGTCCCAACGCATCCAATTTCTCCGAAGCGCTCTCCTTTCCTCTCTCCTTCACCCGCGGATTCCTCTGCGCACTAAACCCACACATCACGTCAGCCACCTCCCCTTCAGAGCATAGTGCAAGTGCAAGTAAACTCACGCCTTCAGCCCACCCGCCACTCGGTTCGGCTCTTTATTCTGCCCCCGGATAGCATACAGATCATGCCGCGGCTGGTCCCCATGGAGCTCATTATCTAGCACGTCTTTGGCGTGCTGCTTTGCTTCGTCTGAGACGCGGGGATTTTTGAGTGTACTTGACCAGCATCAGATTATCCATATCCGTATTATATCCATTGGAGACGAAGGGAGAGTATACTCACGCCTTGTAGCCACGCATAGCATTCACCCTGTCCTCTCCAGAAGCGGAGACTTCGTTGTTTTCCCTTGAGTATGACATTGCTGATGTTGTCTCTGATTGGTTGGTTTGGTGGAGATGGAGATGATCCGACGAGTTTGATATAGATGTATCAACTGCGGCATCGAAACGCTATCTTACACCTGGCAGGTTCAAGCACTAAACAGGTTTCGCTCCTGGTGGATGCCCCACCACCCGGAGAAGTGGTTATTGAAGATTATTATGTGTTGGTTAGGTCTGGCCGGCGGATGAGTCCGGGTTGATGTAGAGATGCGTCATATCGCCACCTCGACCTGGTGATGGGTGTTGCTTGTCTGGTTGTGTCCGTTATGAGCAGAGTATGGGAATTGGGAATGATCAATCGTTGACCGATCGGATAGACGATGATCTCAGATGAATATGCATCGTAAGATATGGTAGGCTTGTTACGTTGTTTGATTCTGTGTATAGCTACATCGATGTCGAAAGTCAGTTGTTGATATTGAACATATACTGATTGATAAGTGGTCCAGGTGATCGACGTACCGGCAGTTTGTCTGTAAGATCCCCACTAGACCAAGCTTCGAATATGAAACATTGGAGGTAGTCGGTCGTAGGTGGAAACTGACGCCTCAGAACTCAATCGAAAACTCAACATCCATGATGACAACACGTTGACAACACCTTGATGTCAGCATGGCGATGCTGGGACTTGCGGAACTCTGGAAACACATATATACCCACGGTATCCCGAGCATTGTCATCGGTGCATCACCAGTAACTTATCCACTGCCACCGCACCTGCAATTTTGTCCTACTGCAACGTCTCAACCACCAACACTCGACCAAAACTATAGTCAAGATGTCCAACCGTGCCGAAAGAGAAGCTGAGGACAGATACGAGGCCGAGAACGACCCCTCGCCCGTCTCAGCCGACGTTATTGACAACTCCTACGTCGGCGAGACACGCCCTGAGCTCCGCAGCCAGGTCCCCGTTCAGGCCGACGAGGCCGACTACGAGGATCCCATGCAGCCTCCCTACTCGAACTCGGACCAGCAGCTTGGTACGTACTCTATTTCAGGAACCATGATGGTTCTGAGCGACTGACCAAGTGTTCCCCGCCAGCCGACGACGAGAGAGAGGCCATTGACAAGAGCAACATTCTACGCGGTGACCGGCTGCGTCACGCAAAGCCCCAGACTGCGAACCAGTACAATGAGGGCCCTGACGAAGAGGCTCTGCCTGATGTTGTGCGATACGGAGACTCTGGTGTCTCCAGTACAAAGCGCTTGTCTTAATGTAGTGCCGGAGATGAGCGCTGTCACGAAATGATGCGATGAATGCAATCGATGACACTTGTATATTAAGTCAAACGTTCTTCGAATGCTATTTGGTTCCTTGGTAGTCTTTCCAAACACCTTGTAGGAATTGCTTCATCTTTACTGGTTGTATGTCAGGGAATTTATCGTTCAGTCGATTTTCATCTGGTAGTTTGAAAACACCGGCTATCGTCAGTCGGCTCACCAAGGCAGTCATCTCTTTCAGCTCCTCTGAGGAGGACAGATTCCCTTCGGGCATCGGAGGAATAGTGACCTGCCCGTCCTTGATACTTCCTTTACTGTCATAAGTGACCTGGAACTTCACACCTGCATTGGTTTAGTTTTAGCAAGAGGAAACAATCGATGAAATCACTGACCTCGAATCTCCTCGGCCATCGCCAGAAGCTGATTGTACGTGACCTCGTCGCCGACAATAATGCTGAATTCAGGCCAGTCAGCAACATCCAATAATCTGATCAGGAATGCTGCCATATCGTATGTATAGGTCATGCAGATCACGTCGTTTCCGTCGCCCGGGATGGCAGCCTGGCAGTGCTGAATGTTGATGCCAAAGGTGCAGGGTGTGAGATTCGTGCGCACCACAGGCATGCCCCAGTAGTCCATGAAAAAGCCGGGTATGACCCGGGTATACTGAAGGTGACTTCTCTGGAGGAGCTCAGCGGCATCGAGCCAATGTTGGATGCTGGGGTCAATGGGGAGCAGTCTGGTACGTCGAATTAGAAAACGACAACAGGCAACAGTACATCAGTAAGAGGGGAAATACTCTTTGGTTTGAATAAAAGAGTATTCGCTAGGAATGAATCTCTTCGTGACGTTGGATTTCTCCGCAGCCTGGATGAGGTTTAACTGAGATTGACTGGTCGTGGCATCGAAGATCCCAATTGCGGATATGATGGTATGGATAGCATGCTGCTTCAGAACTTGGACAAGAGAGGGAATATCATCGTAGTCTACCTGCACTTGTCGAGTTCTATCCAAAGCAGGATCTGCTGTGGGTTCCTGGATCAAATGATGAGACTATGGTCAACCCATCAATAATAAGTTGCCGCGGGGGCTTACGCTGCGAGTCAACACAATGGCTTGGTGCTCGGAATTCCCCACCAAGGTCTCGACAATCGTTTTACCAACTCCCCCGGTGCCACCGGCGACAGCTACAATGACCATTTTGATGATAAATAGAGTAGTTCGTGTTTAGCCTTGAAATGCGAAGTGTCCTTAAACGTCTGCATGCTTGCGATGATGATCAGTTTGCCGTCTTAGGCGCTTGGCGTCGTGGTACCCCACCTTGCTCATGCTCTTCTTCTCTCGCAGAGACTGGAGATCACTAGATGCTTGAACCAGTCAACAACCTTCCGGAAGAATCATATCACCACAGGGTTTGTTGGGCTTCCTTCCATATGACCTGATGGCAAGAAATGCTCCATGTGACTCGGTCTGGCGCGCACGGATCTAGATCGATGCTACATTCGACTATTCATCTGAGGAGATTCCAGACATCACTGTGGAAAGCTGTGACTGGCGCTGTTCATCAATCAACGACATCAATTCAATTGGTTTAAATTAAAGCCGATTATTGATGAATGACATGTTGACAGGAGATCATCACTCGTAAAAGGGGAAAGCCTGCCGTTGCACTTCGCTAGAGGGTCTCTTTGTGATTAGTGATCGGGCCGAGGCCCATACGACGACAAACCAATCAAGCCACTTCCTGATGGGGGAGCATCCAGCTGATGGTGTTGTCGAACTTTATCATGGCACTGAAAGGATAAAACATATTGATCACCTTCCAGCAGATACCTGCATTGCATGACTGACTTTCACCACAGTTCTATTGAGCTCAATCCGTAGCTCTGGAGCTCATATGCCGACCAGAGAAGACGATCCCAACAAATCTACAATGTCTGAGCAAGGGTTTCCCTTACTGACCTGGGAGGAGGTCCATCAGAATCTGGTGCTGTCCAGCCGCAGTCGATCAGCTGTACCGGATCTCCTGGGTGCCAACAAAATCGCTTCGCTTCTGTCTGCATCCTCATACTTACTCCCAGAACGCTCTATTAGTCCAGAAACAGCGACACCTCACCCTCGAACGCAACTCTACGGCGGCTTTTATCTGGAAGATCCGCCTGGTGGGGATCAGCAGCCCGAAGCGTCCAAACATAAGTCCTCGAAACGAACCAGAACAGATATCGATCCCACGGATGGCTCGCTCTCAAGAAAACGAGGGCGACCTCGCAAGTCAGCTGGCGAAGGAGAAGATCCTCATGAGGTGCGTCAACACTCGTATTAGCTTGCTCTAGTTCGCATTCTACTTATCATGCTGACCGGGCAGCGACGTCGAATGCAAATTCGACTAGCACAACGGGCCTATCGTTCCCGCAAGGAAGCCAGCGTTTCTTCCCTCCAAAGCCGCGTTCTTAAGCTTGAGAGTGCAGTGGAGCAGATCAGCGCAGCTTTTTTGTCATTTAGCGATGAGCTGATCCAATCCGAGGTCCTGGCCTCCGATCCTCGCTTGACCCTCCGTTTACGGGACACTGTACAGCTTTGTCTATCTTTGGCAAAAGGAGCCAACATGACAGGAGATCAAAATATCGCTACAACCGTGTCATCCCCCAGCGAAGAAAGCCACTCGTCTTCAGAGGAAATGGGGCCTCAGCGTAGGCAAACTTCTCTCGCAACGTCGCCTCCTTATAGAGAATCTACTGAAAGCGAAGATTCGGGGACGCTACAAGCTACCGGCTTCATGGGAACAGCAGAAGATAAGTATCCCCACGAGGCACCTTCCCTGGATCTGAGCGCCTTTATTGAACGGCTTCATTTTGCGTGTCTCTATGAAGGCTACTCAGCTCTCAGCGATACCGCTGTTGGCATGGACATTTTACAGAGACCATTTCGATTTCTCCTTCGCTTGATGGATAGGAAACGTGTAACCTCTTACTTTGAAGCCTGCTTGCATGCAAAAGCCAGTCGGAAGCGCCTGGATGAGTGGAAAGAGATACCATACTTCAAAATCGGTGGCGCTGGTACCCACTATCCTCGCAAGACAAAGGCAAGCTCAAACGAAACTCTGCCGCGATGGGAGAACATCCAAGATCCCACGTCAGAGCTACCGCAGGAGGTCCAGCATGAGCTTGATGGTGAGTGGTTTGATATACAGGATCTAGAGGGATTTCTCCTGGAAAAAGAAGTTGCATTTGTCGTGGGCGATACGAGCAACTCCAGTGATAAGCGAAACGTAGTGAACGCGGCACGTTTAATTCAAGGTCAGCATCTGTTCCTCCCCTTGGTGTTTTCATACTACTGACGAACATTAGAGTTGTTAAAGACGGGCATCTGCCTTGGCCGGACGCCGGGTTTCCGTCGTAAGGATGTGGAAGAGGCAATTCATGTAGCTATGTGTTCATAAGGCTTGCATGATGGAATTGCCTTTCCAGCCCAATATCTAGTCAGGGTGCTGCAAAAAGCATCTAGATGGCTGCCAGAATCTGGCATAACAATCCACGAAGGTCCAAGAACATTGTGGTATGGCACAGGATATGTGGCCAAGTTTTGCTACGGTAATAGAGAGCTGGGTTTTACAAAGATTTACGAACTTAAGATTAACGTTATCCACATGGCTGTTTTGTCAATAAGTTTAATGTGCATGAGTATCAGAATGGATATATATCCGGTGGGAGGCGTCAACATATGACTAAAGAGATCCACTGCATTGTAGAATTATTTCAAGGAAGACTAATGATTGAACATGATACTCGATTGGGTAGTATACTGTCAGGATACTGGCTTCCTCTCAGGACAGGATTTTTCTCTGGATAGTTCTTCGAGTCAATTGTTGTCACTTGTGGCTGTATAGTTACTGTGGCTGATTGTCGCTTTGAGTCGAGCGGTATCACGTGATGTTTACTATCTTCCCCCAAATTCCTCAGTTTGATGAGATCGTCGCTCGTCTTACATTGCGCGAATCACGAACACTTCATTGGATAGACTTTCCTTGATCCATCCACAGGAATTTGACTCTCGAGATCCATCACTTTTCACTGCCGCCCTCCCGTCGAGCAAAAATGCCAATTGCCGGCCTCTTTCACATGTCGTCCGTCTCCCAGGTGAGATGGCCGGCTTCGCGTTATATCCACCCAAGACCGACGGCGTCACGGTCGGTCGCTCCACTAGAGAGTCTAGACTCAGCGTGTCGAACAAGTCATTGATTGGTTGTAATGTCCGTTCCCTGACTCCTGGCGAGAAGTATTCTCAATTGCCACTCGCCAGGTGTCTCAATTGTCGATTCATGGCAATATCGGCAAAGTTGCAAAGTTGTCTGCCCGACAGTGAGCATCTCGGCCTCCTACCAGGACTCACGAGTCATGCCGAGTTGTCCAGAGTGTAGATTGTGGTCATATTATTGCTTCTATCTGTACTACCGATGACAAAAGTCGAAAGCACTCTCAATGTTATGGAGGAAAAGGACAATGGTGATTGACAATTGCGAGCCGCTGTTATTCGTCTCCATTGTTTCACCACAACACTGCGAAACAGCCGTCCTTTTCGCGTGGACAAAAAAAGGTCCTCCCCTGTCTCAACTACCTACTTCTCCATGCTTATTGGAGGCTGCACCTGTTTCAGAATTGCTGACCACATATCCACCACACCAATGCCGTGCCTCATCGCCGCCCACTTCTGCATACTCCAGAAGATTGGGAAAAATGAAAGAGCTCGAGTCTCGACGAATGCCATACTGAGCAGCCAGCATTCGTCACCCTTTACGGTGTACCTTATGCCCCTCTCCTCAAGTGAGTGATTTCATGACGGTTCGTCTCGGCCTTCTGGGCCTGGTCTCGACAACAGACTAGCATGAGGGATCCTCCAATCCCAAGCCGCTATTGACATGTCGATGGCACCTTGGGATTATTAGAGTATGGCAATAATGGGGCGCCAGCTCATTGACCATGGTGACAATAATAATATTGGCATTATTTTTGCAGGCAATGACAAGCACAGACCAGGCGCGGCTAAATGGGTCGAGCATTCTTGCCCTCGTTGCTATATTATTGGCATCTCCCGTTACCTTTGTTGCCATGGGTCTCACATACTCAATCTTTTCTTCATCTTGAAACATTCCCTTTCGTTATTTCTTCTTTTAAGCTGGCCGATCTCAGGCCTTTACATTCTCTCATTCTTCAATTCATCATCGCAGATCGATTCTGCCCACCTTCCTTTCTTACCAGCTATTGCTAGACTACACCCTGGACGGTGTCAAATCCATTCTTTGCAATCAACAGTGTCTTCTATTCTTCACCTAAGTAGCGATCAGCTGGATTCTTTTTCGGCTGCGTTCCTAGATCTTCTCCATCGCTCGTCTCGACATCTCGAACTTCAAGCGACCATCGTTCCTTAAAAGCCTTGTTTATCATTCAAGAGCGCACATGGCTCCCTCGTCGCTCTTATTGAGCGTAGGATCGCTCATTGCTTCGTCCTTGGTCTCAGCAACAGCCCTGGAGGCTCGTCAATCGCAGACGTATCAGCTTGCAGAGTCCTGGCAGGGGGAAAGCTTCATCAATGACTGGAATTTCTTCAACGGAGCGGACCCTACTAACGGCTATGTCACATATGTCAATCAAAGCTTCGCCGAACAATCTGGGTTGGTCAAGGTCACTCAGAGCGGTAGCTTCTATATGGGTGTCGACTACGAGAGCACTCTGAACCCCAACGGCCCCGGCCGTGAGTCGGTACGGATCGAAACGAAAAATTACTACACGGAGGGACTGTACGTCATCGACATCGAGCACATGCCTGGCAGTATCTGCGGCACATGGCCCGCCTTCTGGTCCGTCGGTAAGGACTGGCCCAACGACGGTGAGATTGATATCATTGAGGGTGTCAACCTGCAGAAGGCAAACGAAATCGTCCTTCACACCAGCGGCTCTTGCGATGTCTCGGGCAGCAACGACATGACTGGCACCCTCTCTTCCTCTGAGTGTGGTGAGGCTTCCGGCACAGTCGGATGTGTAGTCAAGGGAACCAATGGCAGCTCTGGCGATCCTTTCAATAAGGCCGGTGGTGGTGTGTATGCCATGGAGTGGACTGACGCCTTTATCAAGATCTGGTTCTTCCCTCGCAGCCAGATTCCGGCTTCTCTCTCCAGCGGCAGCCCGGATACCTCCTCGTTCGGAACCCCTATGGCGCACTTGCAGGGCTCCTGCGACTTTGGTGAGCGGTTCAAGGCACAAAAGTTCATCATTGACACAACGTTTTGCGGTGACTGGGCCGGTAATGTTTTTGCCGAATCTACCTGCCCCATGAGCGATCCCAGCAGCCCCATGCAGAGCTGTGTCAACTACGTCGCTCAGAACCCCGCGGCTTTCAAGGAGGCTTACTGGGAGATCAACTCCATCAAGGTCTACCAGTACGGCGTCAGCGCTGCGTCGACCGCTGCTGTCTCGCAAGCCACGACCTCCCAGGTCGAAGGCACTCTCGTCTCGGTCCAGATCTCCAATACCGCGACCCCTACTGTCCCCGTTCCTGCTGAGACAACTGCTGCTCCCCCGGCAGCTCAGACCAACACAGTTGTGGAAGGAACCGCTGCTAATCACGCCACACAGTCGTCTGTTGAATCCACGACTGTTCCCGCTGTTACACCTGCCACCACTGCTCCCACTGCCTCGGCCGCTGAGGGCGGTGATGCTGAGCTGGAATCAACTAGCACCGTCTATGTCACATCGACTACCACTATCTGCCCTGTCGCAGAAAGTTCATCTGCAACTGCCGCGGGTGGCAAGAAGGACGCTTCCTCTAACGAGGATTCTGGCGGCGAGGTTGTTGCAACTTCAATCGCTGCCACTCCTGTTGCCGCCGCAAGTGAGCATCCCGGCGCCGACGCCATCGCAAATTCTGCCGCTGCTATCTCTACTGTTACCAAGTCCGAGGCTGTCGCATCCCGGCTGACCGCAGGCGCTCTTTCTGAAATCCCTACAGCACCCCCGGAACCTGTCTCCCAAGCTGTCAGCACGGGATCCTTCGATGACTCCGACACTGCGCCAAGCCACTTTGAAGAGCATGGTTCTATTGCCTCTGCATCTGCTGCGCCTTCCACAATCCCTGTGCCGGCCTCATCCAGCGCTGCTGCTTTAGGTGGCTCTTCTATCGCCAGTTCATTCGCTTCGTCGCGTCGTGTTCCCAGCCCCACTGGAAGTTCTACAGCCGCATCCGTCACTGCCATTGCTACCTGGTCGCCGACAGCTGGTGAGAGGGCTTCCGGCACGGCAAAAGGATCGGCGACACTGACCGCGCCGTCTGAAGTTGTCTTCACTCCTGGCCTCAGCAACGGCGCAAACAGAATGTCGGTTGGTCTTTCTGGTCTGATCGGTGTCATGTTCATTGCTGCTCTGGCATAGACGGTGGCAGATGGTGGCTGGTGCTGTTTTCCTTCTTGAAATATACGTTCACATTGGGAGTTTCGAAACCTTCCTACAATACCCCTGTTGTACATTAGAAAGAGCTGTGTTCGTTGCGCTTGCGTTCTCTTCGTTCAGATCCTACCTCTGGTTACCTTGTGGCTCTTTGCGGACACTAGGCCTTAATTGCTCCCTTATTCCTCCCATACACATAGTAGACCAAAAATGAGATACAATTCAAGACATCCATCGGATGAGTTGCTCTAACATTATCATCATTCTGCCGTCTCAGACACGTGCCTTCTCCTTCCTAGACCCGTCTGCTAAACTAGTTGACCTAAGCATAGATATTTCTCTTCAACATGCTCAAAATCTGGGAAGGGTCATGTCACGACGGTCTCCTTTCTGGCATGTCCTGTCAATATGGGACCAGGCCATGTCCCATATGTCAATCCATCAGGAGCGACACTAGTCGGTGATTAAGCAAATCCGGAAAAGAAAAGAAAGCATGCCTAAAGATCTTGCAGCCGCTGTGGATATCCGGTCTGATCAGATCCAAAACCGACAGGTTATCTCTGAAACATCGATTTCCTCGTGTTCATGCATAAACAAGATGGATTAGATCGTTCAATGGGTTGATATATACAAACAAAACCAAAAATCACCGCAAAACATTCCGAATCGCCGTCTCCATCCACAACTTCGTATACTGCTGATGCAACCAAACAATATGCGCCGGCATCGGCTGCCCCTCGGCCTTCCCCAGCCCCTGGAAGAAACAGCTCTTGAGCCCAAACTCCGCCACGCCCTCGTCGGGCTTCACATCCACAGACATCTCAAACAGCCCGTCAGAGGGCCGGACCTCCTGTATGCGCGGGGACGCCCCGCACCGCACGACGATCCGGTTGGGTGTCTTCTCGACGACCTCGAAGTGGTCCGTGATCAGGGTGCCGGGTTCGTAGGTGGAGGAGCGCAGCTCGGAGCGGGACCAGAGCTGGTTGGCGGTCTCGGGGCCTTGGTATTTACGGGCGAGGTAGGCGCGTTGAAATGCATAGCCTAGTTGTTATCGTGATTGTTAGCTGAGCGCTTGTATGCGTGAATGTTTAGCTAAAGTGCAGTGTGCATACCCCAGCCGCTCCAGACTCCGGCGCAGAATGCCTCGACTAGTTTTCCCTTCTTTTCGAGGAGGGTGGGGTCAATGTCTGATAGGGGGACTCTGCGGATGCAGAGATCGTGGGTGGTCGGGTTGCGCAGGGGATTGAGGGCGTTGAAGCGGGCAGAGTGGAAGATGCGATCGGTCAAAGACAGCGGCACGAAGACGTCGTCGCGCGTGCACCAGAAGAAGCCGCCGACCGTGGCGGCGCCTCCGATGGTGGTTAGCTTGAGGAAGCGACTGAAGATACCCATTGTCGGCTCAATTCAATTGACTAAGCTTTATCCAAAAATGTGGCCCAAAGCAGAGGAGAGCAGAGGATGGATGAAGGAGCGGGATGATGTGGCAGAGTTGAGGGAAGTGATCGCCTGAAGGCACGAGACAGTCTCCACCGGACCAACTCCGATAGCTACGCTATAGAAGTACCTCTCTAACACAACATGTCTATTTTCAACAGCAGAAAAAGAAGGATGGCAGGCTGGGCTCGTTCAATGTCTTATCAATCTCGAGTATCAACACGATTCTTTTTGTCAATGCCATACTCAAACGTGTGGTAGAGGTATACTCCAGTCCTCGCCAATTCAATGATGTCATTGTTTTGTCCATCCTAGCTTCAGCTTCTCCGATATCGACAGTCACAACTGATGGATACTCATGGCAATGGCACAAAGAGTATCCGAATGATATTTTTCTACAGAAGACCCGGAATGTACCTCGCCGTCCTGGCATTCCACCTCTCCCACTCCCTCCCAAATTTCTCCCGCAGCATCCTCTCCTCATCCCTTACCCTCACCCGTACTATCATCACACCTACCATCCACAACGCTCCTATCACGATCATTCCCCATCCATCAAGCCTCTCAATCACATCCTTACGCAACAAGCACGCTCCTACCGCCCCATCCCACCGCAAAGACAGCCCAGCACACCCCAGACACACCACGACTAACGCCGGATAACTCGGATGCTGGGCATACGCATATACACCGTCCGTAATCAATCGATCCGGTACCGAGAGATAGAACGTGAAATTTCGACCTAGGCTCACAAACGCCGAGAGACGGGCGGCGGCGCCGGATGCGATGGCTAGGAGGGAGAGAAGCACCGTTGGAGTCCAGGTGAGGGTCTCTGGGTTGAGATTCTCGGGGTGAGGACAGATGGCGGATAGGATGCTATTATTGGTGTTTGGTGGGTAGAAGAGGGCAACGAGCGCGTGGTAAGCGCCGATGATGATCAGGGCGCGGCTTGCGCTGAGGGCAAAGTTGCCTGTGATGATGCGGATGCGGTCTGTTTTGTAGGGGGATCGTTGGGTTGTGGTTGGAGGTATTACGCAGATGGCGCCGAGGTAGCCTGCTAGTAGGATGGAGAGAGATAGAGTAACAGAAGAGAATGAGGCCATCTTATTGCGAGTTGAGTGGTTTCTGCCGGTGGAATACAAGGCAAAACAATAGTATCTGAGGATCAAGGGCAAGCAATAGACTATAGCACCGTCTCTTGCGAAAGTCTTCTTGATCGTCACTTGGGATGTAGAACATTTTCAGGGATAGAATGTGGAATCATCTCCTGCAAGGGTTGTCTGTGAGCATACATACCGTAGATCTACCGGTTGAGGCATGCCCATCTTGTCTCGATCTCAAGTTGGGGTTACCGGGGTTTATCCATGTGAGAGGCATGGATATACGTCTCTAATAATGATAAATAAAGATAGAACCTCTCCAAGAATTATCCTTGGTTGATGAGATGAACCAGAGGGGAAGACTACGGTAAAGATCCACTGCCTGACCCCGCATTGGGGTATCACCATCTACTACCCGGACGGTTCTCCAGATCAACAAGACCCAAACAAACAATCATCATCATCAGAAATCCGAACCAGCTCATCTCTGAGGATAACAATGTTCCCCCCACCAAAATCAAACGTCCGCTTCAACGCTGAAGCCGCAAAATGGGACGATAACCCCTCCGTACAAGAAGCCACCCGCCTAGCCTACGAAACCCTCCACCCCCTCATCACCACTCTATCAAATGGCGGCGATCAAACCCTCGACGTCCTCGAAGTCGGCTGCGGAACCGGCCTACTCACCCTCCGCGTCGCGCCGCACATCAAGCACATCGTCGCCCTCGACCCCGCAGAGGGTATGATCGAAGTCCTGAACGCGAAGCTCTCCGACCCAACCGCCCCCAAGAACATCACGCCGCTCTGCCACTTACTCACCAACCCAGAAGACCCAGTCCTGCCCCCGGCGTCCGCAACCGAGTCTACAGGCCCCGGCACGGGGGCCAGGCGGAAATACGACCTCATCCTCTCCCACCTCGTCATGCATCATGTCCCCGACCTGCGGCAGTTCCTGAGCACGCTCCGCGGCTGTCTCAAGTCCGGGGGGCGGGTGTTCCTAACTGATTTCGAGGACTTTGGGCCGCAGGCGCGGTTGTTCCATCCCAAGGACAAGCTTGCGGGGGTGGAAAGGCATGGGATTCCGCGCGGGTGGATGGAGGATCTGATGCGGGAGGTGGGATTCGCCGAGGTGAAAGTGTCAGTTGGGTGGACGCTAGAAAAGGACGTGGAGGATTGGGAGGACGGTAGGCGGGAGATGATGAAGTTTCCGTTTTTGGTGTGTGAGGGTGTTTGTCCTTGACTTGCCTTGTTGCAGTCTTACAGATGACTGGAGGCATTGAATGCTTAGTGAAACCTGTAAGCCATGACCACCTTGTTTGTACTCCGTAAGCAGCTGAGTATAAGGCTGGATGCGAGGCTTTCCACTCTGTACATATGATGGATCTACTAAGCGCTACCAATTGGTAATCTCACCCTGTTCAGCTGGAGTCTCCAGCCTCCGTTGCAATACATAGGAAGGCTTCATCTGCTGGGGGGCCTGGGGCCATTCGGCGGTGTGATTTGTTGCGCCGAGAGACGATCCGCGCCACGCATCGGCAGTTCCCAGCGCGTCGAACCTTGTGGGTCGTGCTGAATCCTGAAAAGAACAACTGTTCAGCTCCTCATTCTCAGGTCGCTACCTTCTTCTTAGTAACATGTAGCTAATGGATCTGGTTTTCTGCCATTGTCCATATTATACCACTACTTCATCATTGGATGATTGGACAGATCTCAAAACTTTCCTCTGTCCGCGAACTGCACCACCGCCACTACCGAGATCAACACGAAAGATCGACAAACACCTTTTGAAGGAAAAGTAAGATTGACATTTGGCTCCATTCGGCCTCCACTCGACCACCAAATCATATCTGACATACGCCAATCCTGGCGCAAACCTACTAAATAGTACGCCGTGGCCGCCTGGTGGCCATGCACAAGGCTGATCCTGGGCAATGAGACCTTTCACCTATAAACTGAGCGTCGTCGCTCACGGGGCCATTGCTCCAATTGAGTCGATTCTTATATATTCGTAGATCCTGCTTGTCCCTGGGAATACCAATTACAATCTCTAGCCTTTGCATTGTTTGATAAAGAGCGACCGACATGACGGACAAGGACTCCGAATGCGGGTGTGACGACCCCCCGAGAGAGCTGGTCCTGTGTTTCGATGGCACGGGAAATACTTTTCGTGCAGACGGCGGCGAGAGTAACATCCTCAAGATCTTTCGGATGCTAGATCGAACCAAGCACAATCGATGTATGTACTGCCCTTCACCCAACTATTGATGTTGTGCTAACGAGCATAGTCTGCTACTACCAACGTACGTATATCCCCGACCATCAATGACGGCAACTAATCCGGCGCAGCTGGCATTGGATCAGACATAACGCCCGGCTCGGTCGCTCACGCCGTCCTGCGCCCCAGCAGCAAGTCCTGGACTCCAAAGGCCTTTGACCTTGCGCTTGCGACGTCGTTCGATCAGCACGTCATCCGGGGCTACCGCTTCCTTGCGCGCCGATGGGTACCAGGTGCCAAGATCTACCTCTTTGGTTTCTCTCGAGGCGCCTACACAGCTCGCTTCCTGAACGAGATGCTTGATTATGTAGGCCTTCTCTCTGCGGACAACGAGGAGCTGATCCCCTTCGTCTGGGAGGCGTTCACGCAGTGGAAATTCTCAGAGGGTGAGGAGCCAGAGGAGCGTCTGGGTGCAATGAAATGCCTCAGTGTGAGTCGGGAGACGATGTGTCGACCCGTTGGCCAAGTCCACTTCCTGGGCTTGTTCGATACGGTCAACAGCGTGGCCGAGTTTAACAAGGAGAGTAGCACACGGCCAAGCCCGAAGATTATGAGACACGCCGTCAGTATTGATGAGCGGAGGATCAAATTTCAGCCCGTACTGTTCGAGAGCAAGCTGGGCACGGGATCACCGGACGTGAAGCAGAGCGTCAAAGACTGGAAGAATGGGCCCGAAAACATTTACGACTCGGACAACGACGGTGAATCCTCGATACTCGAGGCCGACTTTGAGGAGGTGTACTTTGCCGGAAACCATGGCGACGTTGGAGGAGGCTGGCCGAGCAAGTCCTGGCCCACCAGCCAGATCCCTCTGACATGGATGGTTCAGGAAGCCATCAAGGCGGGGCTTACGTTCGAAAGTGACAAGCTTGAGGCACTCGGCTGCCAAGATCCTGCAACAAGTGAAAAGGGTCAAGACATCGTACGCCGGGCTGAGCGCGCTAAGATCCACGATTCCTTGGACTATGATAGTGGGAGACCAACTGAGGCTTTCTTCTGGAGATTCCTGGAGTGGATTCCCTTTAAAAGACCAAAGATAACGCCGGATGGTTCGGTCAAGATGACTCGATGGCAGGCAAGAGGTTCACGAAGGCCGCTGCCCAAAGATGCCAAAATTCACGGCAGCGTCATTCGACGATTGCGAGCCGAGCCGAGCTACCGACCGTACAATCTGGGACTTGGGAACAAGCCAAATGAGATGGACAAGGCGGAAGAAGACCGAAATATTGGAGAATGGAGGCAAATCGAGAACGACGGCTTGCGTGACTATTGGGTCAAGGTTTAGTTTGCATGCTTCCTTCGTTTTAGCCTGCTTTCCTTTAGCGTACTCGCACTGTTGTTAATGTCATAACCTTCGAATTGGTCGCTATGGACCACCGATCGATAGCCCAGGTAATACTCCAGCACTGGTTCTGTAATTCAGGTACGTCGGCTTCGGCGGAAGTAGAGTCTGATACCCGAACCCTTTCGTCTCCCAGTCCTGCTGCCCCGCATAAACAGACGTCGACTCCCCTCGTTTGTCGCGGGCTGGTTGCTGCCCAGTCAAACGTTCGTAAGAACACAGTTTCCCGCGGGACTCGCACTCAGCACACGGCTGCAGCCCATTACACGCCTTTTTCAGACGGGCACAAGCATCGCAGGCATGCCTATGTTTACCTCCGGAATCCGCCTTGGGAATCTCCTGCCCTGATTGCAGCCGTTTAGCACACGTAGTCCAGTGTCGACGGAGAACATCCCTGTTGTACAACATGTTAGTTGTACAGCGATCGCGGCACGCATGAGCCCTACCTTACCCGCGACTATACGTGGAGCTGCAGAACTGGCATCTGTATTGTTTAGGTGGTTTATCTAAGCTGATTAGTCAAGCCTTGGTGCATTTTAGATGCACACTTACGGATGAGTAGATGGCGTTTGAGGTGGTCACTGCGGTGGAACGTGAAGGAACAGATTTCACATTTCAAGTGACGACTACCGGGGGTGTTTGGAATCATAGCTTGCTCCATTGTCGGTGACCAGTCCTGTGCGTATCGTGCTGCTGTCTACATGAGAGTAATAAGTTGAAAGTTGACTCTGCCGAAAGATATCTGGTATTCTGGTTGCCTACGCCGAGGCCGAGGCGGGACTGAATCATCACCGACGGCTTTCCCCCGCAATGTTGGTCCGTGGATTCAGCCGATCATTGACATGGCTTTGAGTTCGATGAGAACCACGATATAGGCTCGATTCAGATCCTGTAATGGAGTCAGTCACCGTATTTTTGACAAAATAAAAAGTTTACTGACACATTCTTATTGCACGGTCAATGTTGTATTGCTTCATCGACCTGTCTCTCTCAAGCAACGTGCACCATTTGCTAAGCGAGAAGTCACGTGGTTAGTCTGATACTGGGGACTGTAACCAGCGGCAGGGCTCCATCTCAAATACATCCATCCTTGGGGAAATTGTTGAGACAATGCTTCAAATCTTTAACTTGCAAATCAGAGACCGAAACGACGTGAAAAGTGTGACCGCACTGTATTCTCTTTGCTTCTCAAACAGGAGACAGGTGGCTTTAATGCTCAGACTCCGAACTCCAAAACCCAAATAGCCCAGAATACCTGGTACGATAAATCATGTATAACCCCTTCAAATCGAGATTAATATTCCACAGATCAAAACTCTATGAGTGGCTGTGCCAAAATGCGCCATTCCTCCACCAAGGACTCGCCTCGTATTCGTCGGGATCCCCCACGACTAGCAGCGTGAATGTCGCCAGCTGACCATCACTATGGTAAACCCAGTTTGGTGAATGCGGGCGTATGCCGTTGTGTCCATGATCGGATACTTCATGCCCCGATCCTCAGGGCAGGTATAAATTTCCCCTGAGACATACGGCTGGTGTTGCTTGACTCCGAGGGCCTGTATTCCATAGGACTCAAACCTTAAAAATCACCACATTGAGGAAATATTCCTTTGTCGCAAGATGAGCAGCGTCAAAGAATACTTCAATAACTGGCCGAACGACGAAGGAGTAAGTGAAATGCACACTTAGACCTGACGAAGGTTGCTGACCGGTACTCTTTTGTTCGACGCCAACTATGAGGAACGTCAGCCAGTTGAACTCTCCTTGACCGGTCAAATCCCTGCCTACGCGGCGGGTGTACTCTATCGCACGGGTCCAGGGAAATATACAGTTAACACGGAGAACGGAGACACGTTCAAGATATCCCACTGGTTTGACGGCTTCAGCCAGACTCATCGATTCCAGATCTTGGCTCCAGATGAGTCCCACCCGTCCACACGCGTATTCTACAACTCCCGTCTCTCAACAGATTTGTTGATCGAGGAAGTGAGAATGACCGGCTCCTTCGAGAAACTCAGCTTTGGTCAAAAGCGAGATCCTTGCAAGACTGTCTTCCACAAAGTGCAGACATCTTATTCCCCGGCAAATGAACCATCCTCTCACAACATTGGAGTGACGCTGTCTGTCAACATGCCTGGTCTTGGCCACGAGACCGGTGACCGCTGGACGACAGATTCCGGAATCAAGACTCTGTATGCCAAGACTGATGCCAGCAGCTACAAGCAAATCGATCCGGAGACTCTGGAGCCTATTGGACTCGCTGCGCAAAAGGATCTGCATCCTGATCTGACCGGCCCATTGTCGGCTGCTCATGCCAGATCCGACCCAGTCACAGGGAACGTATATAACTTCAACCTAGCATTTGGCCCTGAAGGATCCATCTACCGCATCTTCTGTGTGTCTGCTTCAACGAGCACCACGTCGATCCTAGCCCAGTTTCCTGGAACCCCGGCGTATCTGCATTCGCTGCTAATAACTGAAGACTACGTGATCCTCTGTGTGTGGAACTCGCACATCGAGCCAGCAAAGATCAAAGCTTCTTTCATTGAAGCCATTCAACAGTTCAACGCATCGAAGCCTGCAACATGGTACGTCGTCGACCGCAAGGGCAGCCGAGGTCTTCTCGCGACGTACCAAAGCCGGCCATTTTTCTGCTTCCACACCATCAATGCGTGGCAGGAACCTTCTGCTGACGACCCCAACCAAACGGACATCGTCGCCGAACTGATCATGTTCGATGACCTCGGCATCCTCGAGAAATTCTACTACGAGAACATGCTTTCTTCGTCTCCCAGCGCAAAGGCATTTGTCCAGGGCAAGCGGGATGGGTGTCGTTCAGCGCTGACCAGCTTCCGGCTTGCGGGCATTCCTTCGGCTCCAACATCAGAGGTCAAAGAGGCATCAGTCAACTGGACAGCCTGCAAGGGCTACGCTCCTGAGCTGCCTACCCTGAACCCAAGATATGTCACGCAGAAGCATCGGTACACCTATGCCATGACTGACCGCGACGAATCGACGTTCTTCGACGGCATCATGAAATACGATAGCGTGGCTAAAGAGACTATCGTCTGGAAACAGCATGGACAGTCGCCAGGAGAAGCAATCTTTGTCGCTGATCCTGCAGGCACCAATGAGGATGATGGTGTCCTTCTGAGTGTTGTGCTGGATGGTAAAACCCGGAAAAGCTACTTGCTTTGTCTGGATGCGCGGGATATGTCCGAGCTGGGTAGAGCGCATCTCAACGGCCCGGTGGGCTTTGGGTTTCATGGCCAGCATGTTCCTGCGCGTGGAGGGCTGCCAACGGGGGATTACTAGACATAATTCTCTGCTGCTGCAACTCAACCCCGAGATGACGCTCTGTCCTGGCTCGGATTGTAATTCCTTTGCTTGCAATATGATTGACTTTCTGAAACGATTGTATTTGATAACTATCAGGGAAAGTCCTCTCTTGCATGTCTCGTCTGTGTAGCCTCGAAAGTTCAAGGACAGTAATATGCGTCACAGTTCACAGGGCAATAAGCATTGCCCCAGCCCTTCAAAACATGGCACGGTGCACCATCGCCACCTCCTGCACCCACACACTAGAGGGGAGATAAAGGTTAGTTTATGTGCCTATGAGGTTATTGCAAGTATGCAGGAATGGGAACTTACAGATCCAACATTGCATTCAACGTTGACTAGGTTGACATAGCATGAAGTGCCATTGCACACCTGCTCCAGTTATTAGCAAACTATGACCACTCAAACAACTCATCAGGGAGAGGAGAAGGGTGCTTTCTTACCCCGACATCATAGTTCTCATCCCTTTTCTCAACCTTGCTCTGCGAGGGAGCTGCTGCTGCAAGCCCCACAAGGGCGAAGATGGCAACGTAGGAAATCTGCATCTTGATGGCGAAGCGACTGTTTCTGTGGTTGGTTTGATATATAAGAATGAGCTTGATGAGCTTGATGAACTTGTTAGAGAAGAAAGAAAGTTGAAGACGAAGAGCCCTTTATATACCCAACTCCCTCCCGCTACTTATGAGCCTAGACCAATACTACACGGATCAACTCCGGTGTGTTTGCCCAAAAGGTCCAGACGAGATGTGACTGTATGTTATGTTGGCAGCAATACGACTTTCCTAATTCAGTAGAAATGAAGCTGATCCTATTTCCTACAGGCTATATTAGTTGCAAACATCGGGCAAGCATCAGGCGAAACTACAAGGGAGCCAACCACTGTGAATAAGCAATATCATATATGTAGGGCCCATGCGGTCAGAGCCTAATTGGGATTAGGCCTGACTTTTAACTACGCGGGCTAGAGCCCCATAGTCACATAACAGACGGAATCTGCTGCTACAGTTACAACGTTAATAATATTTTTGTCCTGCAGCCCCTGCACCCCGTTATTGGCTCCAAGCCGCCAATCATCTGCCACGTTCCTACTTCCCCTGCTTGGTGTTATGCAACAACTGTGGACAAGCCTTTTCTTCAGGAACTCGCCAGCCAGGTGGTATGTCCAGTCGATTGAATTTGGTTCAGGAGAGGCTCGGATGCAAAACTTTGCAGCTTCCCCAACCTATCTGTCTTGTCCTATGGCGCCGGCTTGTCCATGCTCATTCTTCCAGTTCCTGAGCCACGTCTGGTCTGGTCTGGTCTGGTCTGTCTTAGTCAATTTTTTATTAGTACTCAACTTGCCTGCTATGATAGCCTATTAGCCTGAATCGGTTGAGAAAAAAATCTATTGCATACCAAAGAAATGGAGTCTCACTCTCACATGATCCCAGTCTGTCAGCACTAGCAGACTCATGCATGGTTACCTCCATCGGACTTACTCCAAATTGCAACATCAAGGGATCATCCCCTCATTCCCCAGGTTCAGCCACGTTTCTTTTTTTCATTGCGCATTGCCATTGTACAAAGGGAATGTTCTTGCGAGGTACGATCGGCAACCCCTCAGGGATCTAGACGCCGATTTCGCAGAAGGACAGGAAAGACCTGCGGAAAACAACGTGAGATTCAAGGACATGCCGGACGCTGGAGCGAAGCCGCAACTCAGTCTGCTGTAGCCCCCTGCTTTTACTTGCACTATAACTGACACTGCTGAAAATTTGAAGTTTGAACTCATGTTCGGCAACATATAGCTAGGACGTTATATAGAATTCAGTACGTGAAATGAAAATTCCATATCAATAACCAAGAACGTTTGAGAATCGAAACTATCTAAGGCGCCAGCGCCATGCCATGCCATGCCATGCCAGCCAAAGAGCGACAAACAACCAATCCATCCCATTCGAACCAACGAGCGAATCATCGAACCAATAATCCATAATCATATCCATTAAGGCCAAGGAACTAAGCCTTGACCCCCGAAGCCGTAACCAAAAACTGCGCCGCCTCGGCCGCATCGTCCCCGTAGCTCAAATGCGCCAGCACATTCGCCCCATTCAGACAAACCGGGTCCCCAGCCGCACAGTACTCCTTGACAGCCGCCTTAGGCACCTTGCCCACAGCCTGACTCTTGAATGGGTCGCCAAACAGTACGGCCGCGGCAATCTGGCCCTCGGCCAACGAGTTCGCCGCATTGTGCACGACCATCGAGCCCTGCGAGTATCCGCCCACCACGACCTTGGTATCGGGGCACTGCGACAGCGCCTGCTTCACCAGGCTGGCCATTGTGGGGCCGCCAGCCGCGCCGAGGAGGGCGTTGCCCTCGATGGAGGCCGGGTAGTCGACGCCTTGCACGACGACCTTGTTGTTGAGGAGGGAGCGGAGCTTGGTGGCCACGGGGGGACCGGCAATGGAGCCCATGTTGCCTAGTTCAGAGGTGCCGCGGGCGAAGATGAAGGTGAGAGGTTGGCAGGCGTCTTTGTTTTTGACGCCGTTTTCGGTGATGGAGCCTAGGAGGGCGCGTTTAGCGATGTGGTCTGTTTATTTAGCTAGTGCGTTTGCTGCAAGGGAAACGGGGGAAACTAACCACCGAGGAGGCCAGAGAGGGCGACACCCGAGTTGGAATCGGAGCCGGTGGCAGCGGTACCGCTGGTGCTTGCCTCGGCGCTGGAGTCGGTGGTGCTTGCGCTCAGCCCGTTGAGACCGCTGAGACCGCCGAGTCCGCTCAGTCCCGAAAGGCCAGAGGACCCGGAGCCGGAGCTACCCAGGCTACCTAGATTGCCCAGGCCGGGGATGGACGTGGGCAAGGACAATCCCGGAAGACTGAAGCCGCTTCCAGACGAGGAGGAGCCGCCCAGACCAGGGATGAGCGAGGCCAGAGCACCAAGACCAGACGAGGTGGAAGAGCCGCCACCGCCTAGGATAGGGAAGATAGAGGCCAGAGCACCAAGACCGGACGAGGTGGAAGAGCCGCCCCCGCCTAGGATTGGGAAGATAGAGGCCAGAGCACCCAGTCCATCAGTGCCGGTGCCGGTGCCGAACTGACGCTTCTCAAGCTCGGAGTGAATGGTTTTAGTGGGTGCACCGGCGGCAAGCCCAGCGAGGAGAACGACGGTGGTGACGGATGCCTTCATTTTGTCTCAAAAGAATGGATAGAGGCCAGCTCTAGTAGAAAAGAGTGACTGATGAGATGAAGTGAGTGAACTTGTCTGCCCTGCTCTGCTGTGCTCCTCTCCAACACAACTCAGAGCGACGCGACCAGCGTCTTTATACCTCTTCTCTTCCATTCTGAAACCGGCATTTCTCTAAGTTCAACCGAGGAAGATAAAAGATAAATGCCGACCTCCATCGCAGACATCGGTGAACTGGATGCCCGCTGCCTGCCCCTGTTTCATCGCATTCAGGGTACCCAGAATCTAGAAAGAAGGTAGTCATTAGGGCTGTGACCTGTAGACTGAAGTTTAGGTACGGAAGATCTTCGGAGAATCTCTGGATGTTCCGGGGAGTTTCATGTTTTTCATGTTTGAGATTCGATTCGATGCACAGGTCACGTTCGATCGACGGTTTTGGATAGCACTGCGAGAGGGACTCGTCTCGGCGATTGCTTGGGTTTGAGATCGCCGTTATCGTTCAAATACCGAGGGCTCAATGCCGAAGATTTGAATCAATCGTGCGACAGGAACAGATTTCTTCGCGAAGATTCGTGCCATGGTTGATTTCATACCGCGCCGTAATCATATCCTCAGCGAGGTCAGGACCTAGAAAATCCATCTGAGCTTGAAAGGCATCATTATTCTCGCTGCTTATCGGAACTCGATTGTTAGTTCGCACTTCCAACACTGTTGTAAAGGAAGGTGTGCTGTGAAGCCTCAAAAATGAGTCGAGCAAGCCCAGGTGGTCCCCGTGTTTCATCCTGCAACACCTCGGCATCAACCGGCGCAGCCCTGTGTGGGTCTAGCTACTAGCATGACCGGTAAACTCAATTGACAGGGCTGATCTGATCACCTCGTTGGATCGATCGGCGAATCTGAAGCAGCATGACTCGTAATTCAGGGTTGAGTTCAGCGTGGCTGATATGGCTGTCGCAGGGTGAATCAAATTTCCTGAAACGGAGATGTTTGGCGGAGGGGCGGAATCGGACCTCTCTACTGGTGATAAGTCAACTTGGATTATTGATCAAGTCTAGACCAGATAGGATCATGACTCGAAATTGATGAGTTCTCTAAAATGCCATTTGGGAGATGGCTGAGCTGACGAGGCCGAGGACAGGTGACAGATCACGCCGAGGTGAAACATATTTTGGCATGGAGAGTATATCGGAATGGAGATGCCGAGCTGTCACTATTCGAATGTGTAGCTTTCAACGACTAAGACTGATTGCGCACGCAACCTGCTGCTTCATTGAGAAGATATCTTCCTCTAGTTCATACAACTTTGAGATGACGACATACACACTAGATCACTCTCGGTCTCACTCTCACCAACACATCCTCCCCATCCTTAATTGACATAATCCCCAGCACAGGCTTCCCCTCCTCAGCTGCGGGGATCCTTTTCGTCACCAGCTCCACATCAAACCGCCGCAAGAGCATCGCAACAAACAACAACACAAACCGCTTGGCGACATATCGACCAGGACACTGCGTTGTCCCACCCCCGAACGGCCGCCAGTTGTCGCTCCGGGTCAGATTCCGGCCCTTCTGCATGAACCGCTCGTGTCGGAACTCCTCTACGGGATAGTCCACGCCGAAGATGCTCTCGTCAAAGTGCAGTTGCCGGTAGGGGATCATCAGTCTGTTTCCCTTGCGCAGGATCTTGCCGCCGATGATGGTGTCGGACGTAACGAAGCGCACAGACGCAGAGTACGCGGAGAGACGGATCGTTTCGTTCCACATGGCGTCGAGGTGAGGGCAGTTGTCGTGTAGGTAGTCCAGGTCGGGGATTGACTTGTCAGGCGAGAAGGCAGGGAGCGTCTCTTGGCGGATGATGTCGACGTAGCGCTCAGGGCCGTAGTGGAGGATGTAGGTGAGTAACCAGAACGCTGCTTTACGCGTGTTGGTGTTGATCCTAAGCTGTCAGCTTCCGGTATGCAATCGCAAGTCAAACAAGGAGAATCATACCCCCAGTATATTGTGACTAGCATCGTCGCGATGTCATCCTCGCTGATTCCCAGCGCGCGCATCTCATTCTCCATCGCCTTTGTGAACCATGCATCCCCCTGCCTCGTCTCCTGAGGCAGTTGGAGATACTTCTTCAATGCCCGCTGGATTGCATTGCGCGCGGATTTCATCTCCCCCGCCAGAAAATCAGGATACTGATACAGAACCTGCCAGCTCAGCTCGTCAAAAACAATAAACGTCTGCGGCAGCTTGGGATCAATTCCATCCAACGCCGGCCCAAAATACGCCCGCTGGCCGGCCCGAGTGAAATAATCAGAGCACCACTGCATCAACGGCAGGACGATCCCGTCATTTTTCTTAGCCGTCGGAAGATCACTCTGGATTGCATACGGACATTCCCGCTTGAGCGCGTCCAATGTCAGGCGAGGCTCTACCCAGTCCAGGAACTGCTGCTCCAAGAAGTCCAGATTATCCCCCGGATACAACTGGTGGATGTGCATCTGGCGCGCCAGCGTCGCCAGCGGTTTGCCATGCGGATTGGGGAACCCGGGCTTGTCCTTGGACAGAGGCCTGTACATTGTCTTTACGCACGACTCGGTGTTCCCGCAGGCGCGCATCATCGCTTGCACAAACTCGTTGAAGGAGAGAGTGTCGGTGTTGCGGTACGCTTCAGCGACATCTTGGGGTTTAGTGATGACGTAGATGACAGAATTAGCAATGGTAAGAGCGAACGGATCTTGGATGTTGTTGTAGTAATCTCTAGGTACTTGGTGAGCTACGAAGTCTTAGCGGCGAATCACACGACGCACCTTGCTCTGGATAGAAGGGCATTGGAATTGCTGAAGAATGCCGCCCCATGTCCTGTGCAAATTAACAAGTGCGTAACCGGAGACTCACAAGAAATACGCACCCAGGACTAGACTTCATTAGTTTAAGATTCAAGGCTAGGGTGGATAACCTACAAGGAATCCAGTATGGTAGTTCCTTCGGATCGTTAGGATAATACGAAGGCAATACGGTAAACCGCCATATTCTCCATAGGACCAAAACACAAGCAGAGATAACAGCTATCGTCACAGATGGATACTCCTGATTAACCCAGGAAATCTCTTGACTGGTCCAGTCGATAGCTGCAGAAACTGCGTCAGAAAGCATGGTGAGTTGGAGGCGACAATCCGGTCAAGGAAGACGTAACGGATGCGACTCGGTTTATGTACTCGCTACTGGAAGCGAGTACATAAGTGCAAATCTTTCCTAGCCAGTCAAATTCGTGCATATTGCTGTTGGTGTTGGCAAGCGCCAAATCCATGTCATATATCCGCCTAGACGTACGTACAAGTCCGTGCCGAGCCATGTCAAGATGGGCCGAATTGGTCTGACCTGTTGGTATATAATAACCTCTGGTCTTGTTATCCGGTTTGTTGAGCATTACATCTCAATGACACCAATTGACTATAGCCGTTATGCTTGAGATTCTCGTGACCTTCCTGATATTCTGTCTCAGCCGCATCCGCGGCCTGTGGTATCTGGCCCGGGGACCAGAAATCATTGACAAGGCGTACATTGCAGTGTGTGATCGTTCCTCGTTAGGCAATGATACGTTCTGACTGAAACAGGCAGAGGGGAAGCCCTTTCAGATATCTACTCCCTCGAATGATCACTTGTTGGTTACGTCGAACGAGCATATCGCGGAGCTAGTCAACGCGCCGCTTCAAAACCTGTCACTACATGCTGTAGCTAAAGAGGTATGTCCCCTGGCCCTGTTGAAGCAGAGAGTAACACAGGATGTAGATTTTACAACCAAAACACACCATGTTTGGCTTTGAGTGGCAGGACCAACGAGGCGTCGAAGGGACCGGCTTTGTCCGTGCTTTGCGAAGTAGGCTTACGGCTCATCTGCCTATCCTAATGCCTGAGTTACAGAGGACCGTTGAGACTGCCATTGCAGACGAGCTTGTTGCACCTGGAAGCGACGGTAAGTGGGGGCCGCCCCAGTTATGCTTGATTCCATCTGACTGCAGCAGGATTCGTGCGGTGCAGGTTGTTCTCTATGATCAAGCGAACGGTCACCAAGGTCAACTGCTTTGCCTTCTTCGGGGAGGAACTTGGTACGACTACCATTGGTCTATCAGACACCGCCAGGCTTATTGTGTCGCAGCGCAGAATTCCGAGTTCACCGCGGCTGCGTTGGAATTCCCGCAGAGCGTCATCCTAGCCGCTGAAATTTTGCGTATCACTCCGGGTTTCCTCCGACGGTGGGCACTTGATACAAAACAACTGAATAAACTTGGCTGACCACAATAAGATCCGTTGCGAACCTAGTGACGCGACAACACTACGCCGTTAGGACACTATTCCGCTATTTGGAGCCCGTTGTGGGGAAGCGGTTAGCAACGAGGGCCAACTGGACCAGCTCTATGCAAGAGGATGCTCCGGTGGGACTCAGCTTTGGGACAATTCTGTCGCTCGGCTAACCGCCTGCAGATGGATTGCATGCAGTGGCTGATTGACACGTCGCCACGGAAAATACAATGGACCACGACCAGGATGGTTGGTGAGATTATCGCCGTCTGGTTTGGCTCGGTCCACCAGCTGGCAATGGTGAGGCCGCATTCAACAAGGAAGAACCGTTCTTTCGGATCAAAGAGGAAAATTTTTAAGGCTAATCATTTAGCGGTAACTTAGACCACCACATACGCCATCGAAGATCTTTGTCTGCATAGCGACTATGTTGAGCCGCTTCGAGCGGAGATCCAACAATATCTCGCGGGTTCGTGCAGGAGGAGGGTGGCTGAGATGCCGCTCCTCGACAGTTTTGTGAGGGAATCGATTCGCTGCACTAATTCGGATGCAAGTGGGTGTTGGCAGTCCTTCTGCATGATAGTGCATGCAGCCCTTGCTGATTTAGGCAGTTACCGTCCGACGGAAAGCGCTGACACCATTCGTGTTCTCGGATGGACTCGAAGTCGCAGAGGGTGATTGGGTATGTATCCCGCAACGAGCGATGATGCGCGATCGGATCAGATACCAGAATCCGCAAGCATTCGATGGGTTTCGATTCGCCAGAGCAAACAAGCAACTACGCGCGGGAGATGTGTCTCTGGACGTACCCGAGAATAGCCCTCTGACGATGACAGATGTTAGCGTGGACTGGCCAATTTGGGGGCTGGGAAACACGGCCTGGTGAGGGGAACTCTAAGACACCCCCTCATTGTTATTATTGTAAAACATACTTGAAGCTGACATGCTTGATGATCCATAGTCCCGGCAGGTTTTACGCCGCAACAATCCTTAAGTTGATTATGGTGACTATTCTCGAGAAATGGGAGTGTCGGTTGGAAGATCCCGGTAGCCAACGGTGGAGGACGTGGCGGTCAAGCATAGTACCCCGCGAAGGGACGGTTGTACTGTTCAGGAGAAAAGAAGAAGCGTTGACTGGATGATGGTGATGACGATAAGGAGGATGCTTGATTTGGTTGGCTAAACTGTTGGCTATAGGCAATCCTGCAGAGTGTAGACGCAGCTAAAAGCAGATCAACATCTGAGCCACCTCCACAGCCTAGGTGATGGTGACATTCAGGTCTCAGTTTGCTTTTTTCCCACTGCCTTTATTCTCTGCACGTTCCATCAATAAACCAATTGACGGTCTAGAATGGACTATGTAGTGTCATACCTTGTAAGGGCCCCCCTGAAAGTTAACGCTGCAGAATAGGAGGCCACCAGTGAGAGGGTCAGTTCGGAGCCCACACTTGTCAACTTCTTCATCGGCTGTAAGGCTGGCTGCACGTTGCCTCCAAAGGAAGCTCATTTGACGCTGTTGGTGAAGTAGTGAGTGTGATCCGCGTTATCGTCCTTTACTGTAGGCTGTATAGAGGAGGAGTCAGGGACAATAATTCGAGATATACTCCTCACTAGTAGTTTTAACTTTCATGAATTTAGAAAGAGGATTTGAGTTTCTCCCTTGAAAATCGTTTTTGTTCACAGCTGATTGACCATCAAAATCCTCTGCGTCATACACTTATCGATCCTTTGTTGACCTCGAATAAGCGCAAAGCATAACTGATCCACACAACTTAAAGAACAAAGAATAACCCGTGACATGATGCTCGGAACTTGGAACTAGAGCTATTTTAGATTTACTTATAAAGCTAATACCTCGAGCTCTTTGTTCGGGGAGGAAGCTACTTTAGGCAATAAATATTGGCATGTCAGTGCACTGGCAACACTGGCCTGGCTGCAATGCGAGCAGCAAACGGGCTGCCCCGATAGACTCAACAGGCGCATTTAGATTGAAGTAACACTCAACTCCTCACTCTGGACTCACTATTCGACACATCCAGACAGCATGATAGTTTCCATGCTGTATTCGCATCATGTCTTCCCTCCCACCAGGAACGGATCTATGCACCATTCCAGCGGCTCAACCTCCACCAGGCCGGACGTCCAACTTCGTAAACCCACCGAACTTGGCCGCTGAGACCATCGCTGTGACAACAGTGACGCTCGCTTGGGCGACACTCTTCACAACTGCGAGGCTGTATACAAATTGCCGCAAGCTTACTTGGGCAGACGGTAGGTTGCGAACTAGCAATTCTATAGCTTCACGGAAAGAGATTAACGAGCGCCTATAGGCTTTGTGGTCATCGCGCTGGCGCTATCCGCGACTTACAGTGGCTTGGTTTTGGATAGTCAGTTTCTGCTTCAGAAGATTTGTCGCATTAGACTGACGATCTGTGTAGTGCTCAAATACACCCGTCATCAGTGGGATGTACCCGTCTGCTGGTTTACGGCCAGATACCTGAAGGCATGACGATACCTAGCTGCTTGCTCTTCGGGTGCTTACCATTCAAATCTCTAGATTCTCTACGCGCAAGGCACCCTCCTTGGACCCGTCATCTTCTTTGCGAAATCATCCATTTTCCTACTATGTCGACAGATCTTCACCATCCAGAAAGCGATGAAATACGCCATCCGGTTCGGTCTGCTCTTCACCTTCCTCCTATACTGGCCGGGAGTCGGTCTGGAATCATACTTCGCCGCACCGCATATCGGAGAGACATGGGACGACTTGCTGGTCAACAAGCGACCAGAGAAATTGATATACTGGGGGATCGTGCAGGGAGCCCTTTCCGTGGTTCTGGACATCTACATTTTCATTCTGCCACTGCCGCTTCTCTCCAAACTCCAACTTCCTCGCAAGAAGCGATGGCAACTCTTGATCATCTTTTCGACCGCCATGATGTACGTAAAACCCCGCCACAAACATGACAAAATACTGAGTACTGCAGGGGAATCGTCGCCAGCGTTATCGCCCTCGTGTTTCGCATTCAGCTGCTAACCACCTCTGACACCACCTTTACTCAGAGTGCGCTCTTCATCTGCGTGTAAGCTAGCTCAGGAAAGCCATTTTGTGACCTCGCTGACAAATGACAAACCAGAACCGTCGAGAACAACGTCGCCATCATCGTTAGTTCGATGCCATTCTTCGCGGCCTTTTTCAGAAGTCACGTCCTCGAATCGGCCCTTCTCAAGACTCTACGGTCACGACTAAGCTCTAGCGGGGGCCACTCTGTCGTTGGGACAGTAGACCACCATATGGTCAAGGCTCCACCGTCTCCATCGCATCTTCTGAACGATACGACGGGACATTACCATGAGCTGAGGGACTTTGCTTATGCAACGAACACCAAGATACAGGCAGGAGGAGGCGGGGAAAGGCTGCCAACGCAGGGAAACGGTATCTCCCGTGAGGTCAACATTGAGCAGGAGATTCGGGAGTATTCCATTGTATGATATCACAGTTGTTATTAGTAGACAAGGAGTTTGTCTGAGACCTTTTGTTAATAGTAATGATAATCCCCGTCAATTAGACTCGATATTCAATGATTCATTCACATGCTTCAGATAACGCTTTCGACTTGTTCTCGACTGTCGCCTCGAGACAGACAGACGGCCCCTCCCTGCAAGCCTTCAGTTATTTCCTGTCCAGTCTACCATTTTGGCCCCTCGCGTCGTAGTCCACTTTCTCCGATATTCGACGATGTCAATCCGATAGGATTCTCGATATATTACTGCCAACGGCAACAATCTAGCAAGTAGAACCCGCGTACTACTTTAGTTACCGCGGATCCCGACATGATTCCATGGAAACAGGCAGCGATAGTCGTAATTTAAAATAGAAACGTGTTATTTATTTGTGACACTTGGGTAGGATGCAGGAAGTGATGGCTGAGGTTAGCTGCAGATACAGGAATCACAAGATGCAGTAGTCCAAACTGGGCAAAGACTCGGAGAGTCACCGTCAATCTTCCCAGCCTGATCTGCTCCCCTCATCTTATGGTCTTGTAGGTCTCTTTCTTCGTCACGGTTTATACTCTATAGTTGGAAGCCAAGCGTCGTTACAGTTTAGGTTAACATTTTGGATATACTTTGACGTTCTTGAGATTGTCAGTAGGATCCTCAAGATTGAACAACAGGAGATTAGAGACATCCTTGCCATGAACCTCCTATCTTACCGTAGCACAATAATAGTGAATAATAATAGACCCCTGTCTGTATCGTTAGGCAATCACATAAACAACATCTCCCCGTCGTAGACAGAATCCATTGTCAATCCAAATCTCAATCTCATTCCAACCTGAAACAGGATATCCAAAAGACAATGCCCAAAACCATCCTCATAACCGGCTGCTCAGCCAACAGCATCGGCGCAGCGCTCGCCCTCTCTCTCGCCAAACGAGGCCACCACATCTTCGCCACCGCCCGCTCACCCGCTAAAATCCCCTCCCCGCTGACCACCATCTCCAACGTCACCCTCCTGCAGCTCGACGTGACATCTCCGGCCTCCATCGCCGCCGCCGTCCACGCCGTGCAGGAGCAGGGCCACGGGCTGGATGTGCTGGTCAATAACGCCGGAGCGGGGTATACCGTCCCCCTGCTGGACGCGGACCTGGAACACGCGAAGCAAGTCTACGAGACGAATGTGTGGGGTGTGGTACGGATGATACAGGGATTCTCGGACCTGCTCGTTGCCAATCGGGGGAGGGTGGTTAATCTTAGCAGTGTGGGGGCCGTGGTGAATACGCCTTGGATTGGTATTCCCCTCCCCTCTTCTCATCTCCTCTTCTCTTCTGTTGCTTTCGGATGCAGGCTTCGTGTTGGGGTTAATGGGTTAACTGGCATCGTGCAGGGGTATATTCGTCATCCAAAGCGGCCGTCATGCAGATCTCGGAGACGCTTAGATTGGAATTGGCCCCCTTGGGCGTCGCCGTTGTTTGCCTGATGGTGGGCACCGTCAGCACCTCGTTCCATGATAATGAGCCGCGGGTGGTTTTGCCAGCGGGCTCGCGCTATGCAGCCATCAGGGATGTCATATCGCAGTGGGCAACGGGTCAGGCGGGGCCAAAGGGGTGCTCGGTTGAGGAGTTTGCAGAGTCGATTGTAGAGGATGTTTTGGGGGCCAAAGGCAGCGGCAGCGGGGGTTTGGTTTGGAAGGGACCCAATAGTGCTGCAGTTAGGATTCTGTCGCGCTGGTGTCCGTCCTGGTTGTTGGTGAGTTATGAGTTTACTTCCCTGAGATGTGTCGAGCTAACGGGTTAGGATCGCATGATGAGCAATGGGCAGGGATTGGATGAACTGGAGAAGAGTGTGAAGAGTTGACTGTTCATCAGGATACACTAGCTACTCGTAGGAATTTTGAAACCACCAGGCATCTTGCTCTTGAAGATCCCCTTTGGATCCACAGCCTGGCTCACTTGCTGCAGCTTCTCGACACTCTTCTTGCCGTAGGAAGCTATCGGATCCTGCCACTCGGCCGCGTAGTTCAGATAAACGTATGGCTCGTGGGCATCCAACTTGCGTGCGTCCTCTTCAATCCCAGCAAACAGTGCGCGCGCGGCTTGCTCAACTTTACCATCGTCCACCTCGTCCTCCCACGTAGCACTGAGGAGAGTGACAACCAGGGCGCCAGAAGCCTGCGACAGACCCATAGAATTCATAGTAGACCCCCGAGCATAGATCGCGGGAGGCAGCGGCTCCAACGAGATGGACCACACAATGCCAGGGACATCCTCGATGGCCGCCAAACTAGCACTCCACCGTAGATACGTTGCGTTGAGCATGGGAACGGTCGAAGCATGCGTCGTCACGGCAGACAGTTGTCTACATTGTCAGTGCTCCCTGCATGTAATTACGGACAGATTGCATACCTCTTCCCGTTCGGCGCAAACGAGCCCTGCTCTAGCGACATCTCGTGGATGCTCCTCAGCCGCACCGTACTGAACATCGACGGAATCTTCATAATCGGCTCAAAGGCAGCCGGCCGCTCCTCAGCCTTGGTATACACAACACTATTTACCACCGCCGCACCCTTTCCCTTCGCGAACCCAAAACTGGTAATCAGCGACGCATACTCATCATAACCCTTCGCCGAGTTCAGATCCGCAAATGCGCGCAGCTGCTCGTCAATCGTGTCAAGAGCACAGTAAACAGTCCCGCCCCAGATAGGCCCCTGCTCAAACGCACGGAAATCCACCCTTGTAATGATACCAAAGTTGGCCGCCCCGCCGCGGAGTGCCACAAGGAGGTCGGGATTTTCGTTCTCGTTCGCCTGCACGACTGTCCCGTTCGCGAGCACCACCTCAAAATTGGTTACCGTGTCGCAGGTCCAGCCGTACCGCGGCGAGAAGTAGGAGATCCCCCCGCCGATGGTGAGCCCGCCCACGCCGACCTGTGCGGCTCGTCCGCCTGCTACGGAGAGACCTAGCGGGTCGAGGAACGCGTAGACGTCGCCCCAGGATGCGCCCACGCCGACCGACACTGTGGTGCGATCATTGCTGAGGGTGATGGAATTGAGTGCGCGCAGGTCAATGGTGATGCCGTTGGCGATGTTGCATGCGCCGCCAAAGCTGGTGTGGCCGCCGGAGCGGATGGCGAATTGGCAGTCGCTCTTTGTGATGGTGGTAATAGCGGTAGAGACTTCTTCTACTGTGGTGGGGGAGACGATGCACAGTGGCTGGAGGTTAGAGTTTTGTTGTGAGAAATAGGCGTCTATGCATGATTTGTAGCGATTGGTGGGGGGAAATGAGACTTTATCGCCGAGGACGGTGGATAGAGCGAGGCACTGTTGTGTCAGTCGTCAGTAATTGAAGTGGATAGAGGGTCTGAGAGTCAGAGAGTCAGAGAATCAGACATACACAGATTCCCATGGCAGAAGTAGGATCGACGACTGGATTGGTAGCATTGTCACTAACCATGGGTAGCTGGTTGATTTCCATCCTGCAAGGCTAGGTTAGTATCGGAGGACAAAGAAATGAATACGAGAAAAAAGTAAAAAGAGATAAAGAAGATGAAGCAAGAAACTCCGACAGAATCAGACTAGGAATCATTAGGAGTCATTTATTATACATCTTTCCTGTCGTTGTTTGTTGGCGGTTCATGCGTCTGACTCGGATTTCTTCAGGCCCTTTCCCCTCTCTTAAACTGCAGCTCCCCTCCGCCGCTACACAAGGGTGTCATCCTCGTGGCCTCCTCGTGGCCTACTAGTCAGAATGGATGTTGGTAGCATTCTATTCGCTATCTCCGTTCTACCCTCGTTTGCACTTGCAACAGCTACATGTGTAGGCGACTTTCCTCCTTAGCAAAACTGTTACTGACTCTCGCAGTGTCAAGCTTTGACGAGTATTTTAGGCTCAAGGGTACTATATCCAAATAGCACGGCATATGAAACCTCCGTGGATTCATACTGGTCTCAGCAAGAGCAGCTGATAAGTCCTTCATGCGTTCTGTCCGCAACTTCCGCTGAGGACGTTTCCAAAGCGCTGCGGGTTCTTGTTCCCAACGCCTGCAAGTTTGCTGTGCGCAGTGGCGGGCATGGAGCAATTGCCGGGATTGCGAACATTCAAGACGGCGTGACTATTGACCTCAGTGCTTTGAACTGGATTGTTCCCTCCGCAGACCGAAGCCTCGTGTCAGTCGGGCCTGGACAGCGATGGGGAGGTGTGTATGCAGCCCTAGACAGGATCGGAGTGTCTGTACCAGGAGGAAGAGATAGTCCTGTGGGGGTCGGAGGGACTACTTTGGGTGGTAAGCCTATCACCAACATGAATTGATCCTTTCTGACAGGCTAGGCGGCTTCGGCTACTTTGCTACAGAAGCTGGTTTTGCCTGCGACAACGTCGTCGAGTTTCAGGTGGTCCTCGCGAATGGCAGGATTGTCAACGCGACGAAGGACAATGAGCACGATCTTTGGCTTGCTCTGAAAGGAGGGGCAAACAATTTCGGTATTGTAACCAACTTTGTCTTCAGGACCTTTCCTTTAGGCCAGGTATGGGCAGGAGACATTTACTACCCAGTGAGCACACTTGACCAACAGCTGGACGCGTTCTATCGCTTCACATCCGATCCCAACTACGATGTCAAGGCCGGGCTCATTCACAACTTCGCATTCACCCCAGCCACGGGTCCTATACTCACCAACCTATTAGCCTATGCCAGTCCAGAAGAGAACCCCGCGCCTTTCAGACCATTCACCTCGATCCAGCCTCAAATGATGGCCAGCACGAAAGTAATGACACTTGAAGCTCTCGCAGCCGAGGGAGGTTCGCTGTCTCCGAACTCTCGCCAGTAAGCAATCACATTGACAGCAGTAGCCACTTTCTAACAGAGGTAGACAACTCACATTCGCAGTCACGTTTGAGAACAACCTTGACCTGCTGAGGCAAGTCTTTGACATATGGAATGCGAGCACCGCCGACGTGTCGGCTATCCCCAGCATCCAGTGGACCATTAGCATTGAACCCATCGTCCCCGCCATAGCATGCCAAAGTGCTATCAAAGGCGGAAATGTCTTGGGATTGAATGTACCCCAGCAAGGTCTCGTCCTGGCACTGTTATCGGCCACATTCAACCATTCGCAGGAGTATCCCATTGTCAGTGCAGCGGCCGAGAAGCTTTCGAACAATATCATCAGCGCCGCAAAGGCAGCTTGCGCCTATAATCCTTATATTGACCTCAACCATGCTGCGCCCTGGCAGGATCCTATAGCGAGCTATGGGGATAAATTACAAGCATTTTTGAGGCGGACTGCGAAGAAATATGATCCTCAGGGGGTCTTCCAACGTCTGTGTCCGGGGGGATTCAAAGTCAATTGAATGCAGTCGCTTTTTATATATACATGATCTACAGCCATTTAGTAAGATCAAGTTGATCAACCTGTGCCTTCACCTTTACGGCCCTGGGCTTGGACGATTGTTTTTACCAGACAGAAGATATCCACGCCTTTTCCCTCGCAGACATCCTCCATCATCAAAACAGCAGGTATAAGTACAACTGCACTCCAAATTTGGCGCAGAGACACCGCCTCTAGACATTGATCAGAGGACACCACTTCCGCAGACCAAGTAATATAGCCTTAGTTGTTAGAGTTTCCTGAAGGGTTACTGTTAGTTAGATTGGGATCTGAAGTGAATTTGCAGAAATTTGAACTTTATACAGCGAATATCAGTTTCCCATGGGAATTCGTCTATATATACGCCAGTTGGAGTTCTCCCTGATATGCACGATCATAGCACGATTGACATCCAAATTTCACGCCGAAGTCTAAACATGAGCATGTCTCCTCTTAATATGCGACCGAACACCCCGCGCAAATACCTTGATAGACCCCACCAAGGACGCCGGCTTTGGAGTGAGATCCTGGCCTGCATTCGGCGGACCAGGAAATACCTTGTTGCTGCAAGATGCGTCGAGCGCCGTGCATTTGTCGGACCAGATCTGGCAGTGTGCTGAGCCGGTCGGGAGCGCGGTGTTCCAGCATACGTCGGCTTGGTCCCAGCAGTTTTTGGATGACTATTTTGTCAGTTTAGTTCTTTGAAGAAATGAAGGGGGAAAGAGAAGGAACTTACAGCCCAGCAGCCCTGCTCGTCTGTATACGAGGGCACCTCGAATCCACACCAGTTGTCTCGTTCGAGGATACAGCCTTCTGGCTTGAGGCCCTTGTTCTGGACGAGCATCGCACGCTTCTTCTTCTTTTTGTTCTTCTTGGTCTTGTTCTTGCAGACGTTGGCGGGGGTTGATTCTGTTTTCTCGGATTCGGTGTCGGTGGATGCAGAATTGGCAGGCGTAGTATTGACCGGCTCAGTATCGGCAGACGTCTCAGATCCAGTGTTGCCGGACGCAGCCGGGGCAGGCTCAGCAGTGGCAGATGCAGAATCAGACTTGCCGGATCCAGCATTGGCAGACGCTGAACTGCCAGAAGCAGTATTGGCAGGGGTAGGACTGGCAGACGCAGTCTTACCCGTCTGATACACCGGCGGCCCATACATAGGGTACGGCAGCTCTAGCGGCGTCTTGTAGATGTTATATGTCATACCCGGCAGACTGAGATCGTACGTCCCCTCGCCAATGTTCACCGTCGCAGGCTTAGCCGTGCCAGTCGACTGCACAAACACCTGCGCACAGCCGACATAGAACTGCGGATCGGGCGGGTTATCCTGCGCGGCATGCAGAGCCAGCAACTCCGGCCGCACAAGGTAGTATCCACCCTCGATATCAGCCGGGATCTGCACGGAGATATGCCCGTTATTCTCGATCATCTTCTCGGTGCACCATTTGCCGGAAGTTGCATCATAGTCCGACTGCCAGATTTTGAACCACCTGTCGCCAGCAGCGTTGTTGTCGGCCGTTGCGTCGTCGACTTTCTTCATGTACACGGCGCAGGGGCCCTTGTGGCTTCCGTCGATGGAGCCCGGGCGCGAGCCGTCGGCGTATTCGCGGAATTCAAAGGTGAGGGTTGAGGAGGCTTTGGCGGGGCAGACGCGCGCGACGGCTTTTTCGCCATCGTAGCCTATGTTTGTTAGACTTGAAACTCAAAGCCATGGTATTGGAGGACTTACCGCAAGCAATGTCCTTGCTGGAAAGAGGCTCAATGGGAAAGCTCGCTTTGCTTGGGTTACGGTTCATTCGAACACACACTCCATCGCCTTGGTTCTCGCCATCGACGTAGAGGGTCGTGAAGGTGGTATGAGCATGAGCAGATGCAGAAAGCAGTGCCAGCACTGCAAGCAGGAAATGTCTATACATTTTGATCAAAGGAATGAATAAGTGGGTAAAAGGAATGACAACTGCGTCAAGCAGATGAGAATGAAGTGAGAACGAAAAACTTGCATCAATGATCAAGGTGATCGGCTCTCATCTTGTTTAAATACTTTCAAAGCCACAGAGACAATGTAACAATGAATCAATGATGAAGGGTCGGCCAAGGGTCTTGCAATCTTGTAGAGTAGAGCGCTTAGGATAACGCCCTCGTTAAGCGCCTGCGCTGAATGGCTGGTGGAAATAAAGCAGGAGGGCCAACAAGGCAAGGGCCCATATCCACTGCATGTTTTGGTCAATTCTCATTGAAGCTTTCAGCGATATTCGATGGATCGTGTTTCAGAAATGCAGGTGGAGATATTCTCAAACACGCCTTCTTCTTGGCAGGGCACTGGCGATCCTTTGTCCTGATGATAATAACTCACAATTGGGCCATGGAGGTTTAGCCAGACGCTGGTTTGATGTGTCTAGTTTTGCTAATGACTCTAATTCACGTCAATTGCCGTGATTTTAAAATGATTGGCATCCCTTAAAAGTCTATTGCATTTTCAGTTTGTGCTGAGATGTATAGTACCGTTGTGGATAGCTTCATCTCCACCCCGACTAGGATTGGCGCCGCACAAATGGGCAGTTCTGTGGTGGCGTATTAGTGCGGGGCTTTTCTTATTCCCCTAATTTGCTTTCTTACTGCAAACTTACAGAGCTTTACTTTCGAAAGGGTCCCCTAATTGCGAGCAGGGGACAACCTGGTTGTCAGCTTGGATATTGTCAAATCTCAAGACTGTCTCCAGTTATGAATCTAGTACTTTGTCCATGACCAAACGACGATAGAATAATTCTTTTAACCAGAGTAGCAGGCAATCTATATTTCTAGATAAAAAAGATACTAAGACTAGAGGGGCTGAGGCAGACCATGTCCAGAATATTCGCAAACATCTCCACCGTCTCACAAAGGGCCTTAACCAACTGAGCCCCGGCATCCGGGGCCAAAACCCGGCTATTAGCACACACCTGCATCCCCAAATGACTCTCATGCGGCTCTGAAAAAACAAAATCTTCCTGTACCGGATCAAACTGCGGAAACAGCGAATACTGCCCCTGGACATCACCCTCCGTTCTCTGCTGCTCAAGATCAACGAAACCGCCCGTTCACAGCCCGTAGCAAACAAGTCAACGTCTCCAGCACCGGGGTATCAATCCCCAATTCCTTCCCCCTCCGCAACGGAACCCCCAAAATAACCTCAATCTCCATCGGCCGCTCATTCCGACAGTCCACCTGCATACTACTCCCAATCCCGGGCAACGCATTGATCTTGTCCATCAACCTATCCACTAGCCCCTCGTCAAGGTTAACACCGCACCCCCTGGCCACAGCAATAACCTCCCCCATCAGACGCCTCGTCAACGGCGTCGCCTCCACAGATGAAGTCAACCACGTCTGCGTATCCACCATCGTCAACGCAGTAATGGAGTTCCACGCTGCATTCCACACGACCTTTTCCCACCGGGGGAGCTGCATATCCCCCACAACCTGGAACTTGGTTCCCCCGGCCGTCAGGAACGACGTGAACTCTTCTAAACGGGAGTTCTCAACCGAGGCTTCAACTGAAGGATTCGGGAACAGCCCAATTTGCAGATCCTCCGATTTGATGTGCGTGATCACCCCGGGTGAGGTCTGCGTTGCGCCTACCCATGTCTAACGACACCAGTCAGCAATAACAGCAACAGCAGCTACAACTATTACAAAGTGAAGGGTGGTCTGGGCATACCACGCAAGTAAGTATCGAGCAAGCGGGAAACGCCCGCCGGAAAGGCTCCTCATTCCCCACTCCGTTCTGGATGATCACGAACGTGGTGTTGTTATCCACGGCTGGGGCCAATTGCGCGGCTACGGCGTCTTGATCGATAGCCTTGTTCGCGCAGATGACGTAGTGGTATGGATGCGTGACTTCAGAGGGTGATTTTACCGCTACAGTGAGGTTAGACGAGACTTTGTGATAACGATGAGGCAGCCTACCTTGATCAGGATGGAAACGGTGCTGGCCGTGGTTGGCGCTGTCGATGTAGATGCCCTATTGTCATTAGTATTAACTTCCAGAGGTTCGAGATGCTTACATTCTTGACGACAGCTTCGTAGTTTGATCGAGCGACGACTGTTAGGCGGACGCGGTTGGTGCGGTGAAGGATGAAGGCGTAGAAGGAGCCGATCCTGGGGTTGTGAGTTTCAATAAAGAATATATTCGGGATAAACTTACGCTCCTAGACCGTAGACGAGGACATTAACCCTTTGTGTCTCTGTCTCCATGTTGATCATGTATCTTTGTGCGTTGTACCTGGTGCTCCGTATTCACCTCAAATGGATGCCGATTGCGGGGTTCGGCATATCGCCGATCTCGCTTGTTTTCTGGTGATCCGGCCAACTTTGTATTAGCTGCTCTACAATAAAGCCCCTCTACGTTGTTGGGTAATGACAATGTAGGTGATTGAATTAGTATTGTAGTATATACATATTCCGTCCGTTTAATATCCCCGACTCCATAGCACGCCAGGATATATATTCCCTATCTATGATACATGAACAGATCGTGTGCTAATCATTATTCCTGCCGATCGACCACCCGGGTCGTCGGATTTGTTGTCTCAGGGCTTGTTGGCTCAGGACTTGCTTCAGAGCTCGAATCAGAAGTGTCCGTACCTAAATCACGCAGCTGGATAGCCCCCGACATCTTGAATTGATCCTCGCATTCACCCGCCGCTTTGTCCTCTGGCGGTTCCTCGTCCACCGCATAGCGCCAGTGACCATCCGCGTTGAGGAACATCCGGAATCCGTACCGCTTGTTCAGTCGGTCAAGGTGGATCCGTCTCTGCACGCTGGTCCAAAAATAGGTGCCGCGGAAATCGTTGAGCATGCGACTGTGTGCAATCCAGGGCATCACTGCGCCAATGGACCGTGGCACGCGGGGTCCCTTGAAGCGGCCGCGGCGCGTGCCGAAAACAATAAGAACGATCAACGTATCGAGGGCGATGATCATCAATGCAACTGCTAGAGAGGGGATGGACGGTACCATGGTCCATGTGTTGTAGATCACTGTCGAGTTCGGAGCGGCATGCGGTATGTCCAGCGGCTGCAGGTAGATCCCCCTCCAGATGGTAAAATAAGTGCTATAAACCCACTGATAGACGATTCTAGACATGTCCATCAGGTCATCAGGGTTAAGAGACGTAAACCCCGGATCTCGACGCCTGTACAAACGTGCAACTAGGAAACCAGCCCAGTCGTACGACGTGATGTATGTCTTGCGATCGTAAGTCGAATTGCTGATGTAGCTCTGCGGGATGGCGGCAAAGACCTTGTTGAACTGTCCCAGGCTGACCGTCGCATTGTCGTACATGGGGCCAGATGTGATGGCTGTACCGGCAATGGGGCTCAAATCTTGGATTTGGCCTTTTGTATCGAAAGTGATCGAGTAGTTTTCCAACTTGATTCTGGGTTCGCAGTGCAGAGCAATAGTGTTTTGGTCCGTTATGGGCGATCCGGCAGTGTAATTCCACCGACCCAGAACCACCACAGTGGATGTCTGGCAATCATACGTTTCATCTTCGGTAACCACCGGAGACAAAAAGTGAATGGAAAGTGTAATGTCCTCCTGTGGATGCTGCAGCATGGTCATGTCGACTTTACAGTTCCTATTCGGATCGTCAAATGTCTGATATTCCCAATAAGCAGATCCATTCTGGGGAATCACAACCAGACTATCGGCGATAGACAATTCTTGACATGCCAGGTCCGCTCCGATACCCAGCGTGTTGGCCCCGTACAGGGCATCAGAATCCGGATCCTTGATCGTGATGGGAACAAAAGAGTGGTTGGCACTCGTCCATGGGAGTATCGACACTCCGGTGGTGATACTGGTCTGGATGATGTCGTACTCAGTAAAGTCTGCCGCAAAATCGGTTTGCTGAAAAACAGTATTGCTGTAGTTGGTGACCAGCGACGAGGTAGGAAGAGAGGAGCTAGTCATCTGTTGTGTGAATAAGCCACCAGCAACGACAGTAAGACCCGTGTTGACAACACATGCTACGGATATCAGGAGCAACAAAATGTGACGGTTTCGTACGGCTTTCACCAACACTGCCAACGGCGTCTGCGACGAGTAGTTCATTGACAATGAGGCCTTCGCCGTAGCCCTGCCGCGCTGAAGGTGCACCCAAGGTTCAAGGATGCTGACATTGCGGTGAATGGAGGTGCAGAGAGAACCAACGGCCGAAGCAACTATGGACGGCAAAACTGACAGAACTACTTGAAAAAAGCTCGAGTCTGACTGCGTAAGATGTCGAAACTTGCCATCGCGAGTCAGTGAAGCAACGACCAAGCTCATGGCTGTGATCACCGCGGCGAGCAAGAGGAATTCAATAATAAAAAAGGGAATGACGAGAAAGTGTGGCATCGGATCAGCGCGCTTGCGCAGCTGCTCGTCCAACTGAATCGGAGAGCCGTCTGAGGTGACGATTGCGAGGCGTCTGCCATTCGGGCCCGGGCCGGGTTCCCAGCGCAACCAGCAATTCCGAAGAAGCCGACGGAGTTGTCGCGTGGAATACTGATGAAACTCAAACCGAGGGTCGGCGAGAATGTTGGAGGGTCCAAACAGGTCTGTAACAATGCTACACATGGCTGCAACGGAGCACGGGTCGCTTTGAAGTACGTTTTCCCGGTTGTTGTACACGTGTAACAGCCCTAAGGTGATAACGACGCCCAGACCAAGGATGACCTCGGACCATAAAGCTGCAAAATCGACCACCGCGAGTGTGACTTGCCGGGTGAGCCGTGTCGCCGGTACGACGGCCGGGGCTTCGTCAAGATTGAAGAGTCGTCCCATGGTAAGCATAAATGTCTGTCTCACGCCCCGCGTAACCTTGGATTCAAACTCTTCTTTTGACATGACGTCTGACGAGTCCAGGACTACGACAGGCTCCAAATCACCTATTTC